GCGGTCACTCTCCAAGTTCCTCACTTGGCTTCTGGCCACCTGTCTCTCCTCATCTCTCCAACCCCTACGTGTGGGAGGGCCAGAGCTCCCCTTTTGACCCCTTCCAGTTGCCCACAGTCTCCCCGCTGTGATCTGGTTTCATGATTACGTTACAGGCAAAATGGCTCCCACTTGCATGTCTCCAGCAAGATCCTCTCTGGTTTGTAGATCTGCCTGTCCAACACAGCCACGTGGATGTCACACTTGCCTGACACTCAGACCCTGACCCCTCTTGCCCTCTAGCTGCTCAGGACAAACAAATTCTTGTGCTCACACCCCATGCCACTGTATCAGCAATCTTGTCAGCCCTACTTTCAGAGTATGTCCAGGGCCTCAGGGCCTTTGCACTGGCTGACTCCTCCCTCAGATGCTTCCACTGGGACTTCTACTCTCATTTCTTTCAGGCCTTAACTCCTGCCGGCTTGTTTAAAATTGTCCTTCTGACAGTCCTGTGTTGTATGTCTCCGTGACACTTGTCACTATCAAATATGTTGCTATTTGTCCTTATTTACCTGTCTCCCTTGTTAGGAAAAAAAGCTCCACAAGGATAGATATTTTTTTGTCTATTTTGTTTTTCCAGATCTTGCTTGGCATATTTGTATGTGCATGTGTGTATGTGTGTATGAGTTTTTTCTCAAGCAATCTCTACGCCCAATGTAGGACTCAAACTCACAACCCTGAGATCAAGAGTTGCATCCTCTTCTGACTGAGGCAGCCAGGTGTCTCTTCCATATATTTTTGTTGTAGAAATAAACCCAAAGGATTAATTGTGAGCGTAAAGGGGGAGAGGCAGGATCAATGTTATAGATGCTGGTAGCCAGACGGGGGCAGCAAAGAGCCACCCAGTGGGGATGAAAGACTGGGGAGGCACAGGCACATGCTGTGTGACCTCAAGCAAGTTTCTTAGCCTCTCTGAACCTCAGTTTCCTCCAGGAAGATTAGTTATAGGGGGAGAGCACCTGTGGGAAGATGTGGGAAGGCTTTGTAATGGAGGTTAGGTGCCCGCACTGGGGGACAGGCCAGTTACCGAACTATGATGCAGCCTGATGAGGGAATATCATAGGGCTTTTAAAAAATATCAGAAAATGCTTATGCTTTCAGAGCGCATATATACAAACCTATAGAAAGAACAACAGTGAGATGTAAAATTAACAAGCTTGGGGGAACATCTGGAAGAAATGCATCATCATAAAAACGAACACCAACTGGGCACTTAGATTTCTGCACTTGCCAAATTTCCACCACGAACACCTTATCTGCATCTCCCTTCAGGTCTTTATGACCGACTAGAACGTTCTGTGGTTACTACTACACCAGCTCTCTGGGCTGAGGGCCTCTCCTTCCTCTGCCACTACTGCTTCTTCCTGGCATTGGCTTGATCGGTCCCCTTTGCTGTCCTGGGTGCTCACGCCTGGGTTTGGGGAGAGTGCCTGCACTGGACGCTGCCGAGGGCACACGTGGGCTCACCCAGATCGGGCTCACCCAGATCCCCTTCACAGCAAATGTGGCCGCTGCGCTCTGCGGGGGCCCGACGACCTGTGGCCCCTGGCGCACATCTGCTCTGGAGAGCTGGGTGCCCGGGGCTTTGAGGGCAGAGTCCTAGGCTGTCCGCAGCCACCTGCCTCTCTGCCCTGCTTCCCTGCTTTAACTTGGCGCCCTGCAGGCAGGTGGGCGAGGTGAGGAGCAGCCCAGTGACTCACAGCAAGGATTCAGCAGCAGGGATCCCCGCTGGGCCTCACTCACTAGGGCTCCTGAGCCCTGGGTCACCCAGGCCCGCCGAAGGCAGGGCTGGGCTCACTCTTGGACAAGCAGAGGGCCTGGCTCCTGGGTCCCCTACCAGACCCCCTTCAGCCAGCATCCCCACCCCCCAGGGGTCCGTGAAGCTCCTGGCCCACAGCTCTCTGGACTTCCTGAGCCTTCCCACGGCTTCCCAAGCCTCACGGCCCTGCACCTCCCTTCCCAAGCCTTGCGCTCCTGTACCCCCCCTTCCCGAGCCTTGCACCCCTGCTCCCCCCCTTCCCGAGCCTCGCGCCCCTGCTCCCCCCCTTCCTGAGCCTCGAGCCCCTGCACCCCCCTTCCCGAGCCTCAAGCCCCTGCAACCCCCCTTCCCAAGCCTCATTCCCCTGCACCCCCCTTCCCAAGCCTTGCGCTCCTGCACGCCCCCTCCCCCATGCTGCAGGCACCTTTCCACCACCCAGCTCCCCCCTCCCATCCTTGCACGGCCCACTGACAGGGCCCATCCCCATCAGGCTCAAACCTCCACAGTGTGCAAGTGGCTACAGGGGCAGCTTTCACAGAAGCTTCCAGGCCCCCAGGAAGCCTCAACAGGTAGGAATAAAGGGCATCTTTTCCGCCATCTGCACGGAGGGTTGTTGGTGGACATCTTGTAGGTACCAATGTGGACCCGTGGCATTCAAGACTGGGGGGCCCCCTCCCCATCTCCCCAGCACTAAGGATCCCTCCTGGACTTGGACATAGGCCCAGGGGAAAGGGGACTCCTCAATGGACTCAGATTCTGCCACTATGCAGGGGGGGCTTTCAGTACAAGTCCGGTTCGATTTTACATGTCTTGAGCTTGAGCTTGCACTCGTGTTTTTGGAAGAGGACGAAAGAACGGGAAAATGTCTTGAAGGCCCCACTGTGCCCAGGATGGGGCCTGTGTCTCTGCCATGATGCACCATGCCCTCCTGGCCATGCTGACGTCCCTCACTCCGCCCCCCCCGGGCCGTGCTCCAGCCGTGGTCCCCGACAGCCCCTCTGTGCCTTCGCTGAGGATGGGCCCTGCGTGTAGCACTACACACTGTTTTTTGCTCATCTCCGAGGCCTGGCTCAACGCCACCTCCTCCAGGAAGCCTTCCCAAGCCCCAGGAACAACCACCGCTGCCCGCATTGAGCACCTCCCATCACAGCTGGTCCAGGGCTGAAGCATTTACATCTCACTCAGGCGTCAGGATGCACCTCCCCAGGACCCCGGGGAAGGGGGGGTTTGGGGGGTGAAACAGTCCCTGCCCATCACTGCCCACCCATTTACCCAACTCTGACCACCTAAGGAGGCAGAGATGCCTTTTTCCAACTTACAGATGAGGAAGGTGGAGGCTCGGGGGTGTGAAATAATGAGCCTAGAATCATAGAGCTAGTAAGGGGGCGCTTCAGGGATTTGAACCGGGTCTGTCTGAGCACGAGCCTGTGCCTTCCCATGACCCGCATGCTGCCACCGACCCACCACCCCAATCGGAGGGTCCGCCACTCCTCCACGTGCCCAGGGCCCCTGCAGCGGGTTCAGCCCACCTCCCCCTAGATGGTGGCACCTGATAACGTTCCCCTGGAGACCTGAGCTCCTGCTCCGATTTGTCTCGGGTCCCCAGGAGCTGCCTGTAAGGGGCTTTAGCGACTGGAGGGTTTGGGGACAGCCCTTTCTGGGGTGGGAACAGTTCTCAAGTGGCCTCTGGCAAGGCCTCAGAGGCCCCAGGAGCCTGGATACCTTCCCAGCCCAGTGTGACGAGCAGCATGAGTAAGCTGGGAGCAGGCTTGCCAGCCCGTCTGTCCTGGCCCCTCCAGGCTGCCACCGGCCAGGGATGCCAATGCCTGGAAAGGCACTGGCAGGTCCTTCCTGAGGGCTGGCCCGGAGCTCCCTTCCCATCTCCTCTTCCAGGCAGTCTGCCACCCTCTTTCACACCACGTGGGCAGACAAGGCATTTCCAGGCGATCTCTCTGCGCACAGAGAAGCCAAAGCAAAGGCCGGGAAGCGGTGGTGGTGGTGGTGGGGGGGCAGCCAAGCCGTCTGTCGCAGCACAGGGATGGGCCAGGGGCCACAGGTGGCTCCCGTGGTTGATGAGAAGGAAGCTGTGCCAGGTGCCACTCTCGCTGCTCCTCTTAGGGTCCCCACCATCCTGCCCCATCACTACAGCCCTCGGTAAGTCCTGCCCCCTCGCAGTCTGATGGCCTCTCGCCCTTTCCCCAGAAGCTCACGGAGCCAGGCCTGGGCCCAGGGACTGAAAGCTCCAGGGAGCAGGGTCAGTGAGCACCAAGTTGGGCGAGGGGGATAGTCGTCGTGACCGTGAAGTTGGATTCCTGTCCTGCGGGCTGCCTGGGTTCCGGGCACCCCTCCATTCCCAGCACAGCAATGTAGCCTCCCTAAGGGCGACGTTCCTGAAGGGCAGGGGACAGATGCAGTGTCTCCCGGGAAAGGTCAGGGGCAAGGGCAGGGAGGCTTCCCGTCTCTCCATACACAGGCTATGGGGAAAACAGATGAGCATATGCGGCCTCAGCCTGGAGGCCCTGGGCGGCCCGAGCGAGTCACATAGCCCCTGCTCATTCAGGGTTTGGGTTCTTTGTCCCCCCCTTTTTAAAAGTAATTTCTACAGCAATGTGGGGCTTGAACTCACGACCCCAAGATCAAGAACTGCATGTTCCACTGACTGAGGCAGCCACGCGCCCCTCTCGTTTGGGGTCTGGGAGGGCCAGGGCACAGCCCATGGAGGAGATGGAGGGGGTGGCAGCCTGGAAAGAGGTCAGGAGAAGCATCCCGCCACCCAAGGCCAAGTGAGCACTTACCCACCTCTCACCACCAAGCTCGCTCGTGATCCTTACGCACAAAGCCCTCCCTCTGTGATTAGAACTGCCTGCCAGGAGCCTCACCCGCCTCTTCACCCCTTCATCAGGGGCAAGGGCAACGACCTAGCCGGGCCCCACCCTCCTGACCCCTGGCTGGGTGAGGTACACAAAGCACAGGCGCCCCCTCCCCCCATCTGCTCGGGTTCCAGTGCAACCTTCCTCCGCCCGCCTGTGGCCGCTGGCCTCGCCTGTGGCCGGTGCCCAGAGGCTGTGGGAGGACGGAAGGGCGGGGCCTCATGTCCCACGGGCAGCTGGGCTCTGGCCTCTGGCCCCCAGCGCGGCCACCGGCCCCCCATGCCAAGCTGTGCACCCCTCCCCACTTCTGCCCCTAGGCCAGTGCCTCTTACCAGGCTTTGGGATGAGTCCTTGAAAAGGCCTGGAAGAGAAACAGACAGGGGCATCAGAGGGGGGACAGGGAGCGCTTTGGAAATGTTTGGGGGTCACCCCATACCTGCTGCACTGGAACGGTGTTTTAACAAGATGCCCGGGGATTTGTTGAGGGGGCGGGACACTGTGACTATGGGGCACTGCTGCCGTGCGGCCCGGTGACCAGTGCCTCCTGCTGGCTCCGACCTGCTGGCTCTGTGAACCCCCCCGCCCCCCCCGGGCAAACCTTCTGTCTCAGTGTCCTCCCCTCCGAAGTGGGCTGACCGTCTCTCCCGGGGGGTGGGAGGGTGGCGAGTGGGGGCTGTGGGCGGGCAGGAGGTGTTGAGAAGGTCACCCCTGCTGTGTGCTGGTTGAGTGGGGTTCCTTGCACCCTGGCTGGCCCTCTGTCACCTTTCTGTCCCCCACTAGGACCCAGGATGGCACCAGAGAGCTGCCTTGTCCAGCAAGGAGAACAGAACAAAGCAGGACCAAAGGAAAGGCCAAGGGTCCCTGCCCATGCTAGTCGTGCCTCCTCATCCTTCCCGAGTACCTGGTGACCGTGAACTTGATCTTGTCTGCCACTGCAAGGATCCTCTCCAGGTTCTGGGAGCCAAAGGTGCAGGGCTTTCGGAACGGGATTCCCGGGGGTAGCCCCTCGATGATCACTGAGCCAGGGTTACTCTTGATCCTCTTGTAGGGGACCTGGACGGGGTACTTGATGCCCAGGGCTTCTCCTGCGGAGGAGGGACAGAGGTCCCCTCAGAACCCAGGGCAGCGCTGCTGTGTGGAGACGGGGGCACACTGCAGGGCTCCAGGTGCAAATGTGAAGAGAGGGTGTGTACGCGGGCGTGTAAGGAGGTAGGCGGGCAGCCCCATGGGAAGGGACATAGGTGGGGCACCGGCGGCTCCGGGGTGCGGTGCAGGGGTGTGGTGTGTGTCCTGGGGGGTGAGGAGCGGACAGGGCTCGTGTGGCTCTGGCTGCTGGGAGATGGCAGTGCACAGGCTCCTTAGCCTCACAGCCTGCAAATCTGCAAGCCCGGCTCAAGGATGGGACCTGTGGGCGCAGCTGGCCCTTCCCCAGAAGGCCTGGCCCTCCACGCCCCCCACCCGGGGTCTGCCCCACACTGGTTCAGGACAGTCCCAGCCTGAGGCCAGACTGCTTTTGGGGGGCAAGGGCCAGCCCGAGGCCAGCAGGGTGCGGCTCAGACCTGAGACCCTCCGTCTGCCAGGGCTTTGACCTTGCTCCTTGCACCAGCCCCCTGCGTGTCCATCCCCATGACCATGCTTGACCAGCATGGCCACTGCTGGTCCGCCCTCCGCTGGGGCTTGCCACCTGCTGTCAGGGGGCTCCCCCAGCCACGGCAAGGCCGGGGGGTGTGGGGCGGTGAGGGCACCCACGGCGGTGAGGGCACAAGTGCAGGCACCGCAGCCTGGGTGCTGCCTGGAGGGTGTACACCTCAGGGCCCCTCCCGGGCAGAGTGAAGGAGCGCACGGGGATCTCTCTGAGGGGCTTATTGGGGGCGTCGCCCCTGCGGTGCCGACTTCTGAAGACATAAAATCCCTGCTAGTCTCAGCACTAGGAAGAACAGCCGACCCTCTCTGTGCAGCAAACTAATTTTTATCTCAGGGACACTGGGCCCCATTTCTCTTTTTGCTCTGGCTCCCGGGAAGCTCACAGCCTGATCATCTGTATCTACCAAGTACAGAATTTCTGTGTCTTTTTATTACCTCTGGCTTCATGCCAGAGTTCCAGCCTATTTTTTGTCTATTTATTTATATATTTATTCTTTTATTTAAAAATGTTTTAATGTTTACTTTTATTTTTAATTAAAAATTTTTAATGTTTATTTATTTATGAGAGAAACAGAATGTGAGTGGGGGAGGTGTACAGAGAGAGAGGGAGACAGAACTGAAGCAGGCTCCAGGCTCTGAGCTGTCACCACAGAGTCTGACGTGGGGCTTGAATCCACAAACCGCGAGATCACGACTTGAGCCAAAATCGGACGCTTAACCGACTGAGCCACCCAGGCGCCCCGTTTTTGTTTTTTTAATTGAGATCTAATTCCCATACCATGAAAGTGGCCGGTGTAAATTACAGAATCCAGTGGGTTTTAGAAAAGGCTGTGAAACCACGGCCGCTATCTAATTCCGGGAAATGTTCGTTGCTCCAGAGAGAAACCCTGTACCCAGTACAGTCACCCGACCTATTTCCCTGTGCCTTCGCAACTGCTAATCTGGGTGGATTTCCAGTCTTCCTAACTCTTTACTCTGACTTTGTGGCGGACTAGTTTATATGGTAGGTATTGCTAAGAGGTCCTTTATTTTTAAGTGTATTTATTTATTTTGGGGGGCAGAGAACACATGCATGTGTGCCTGCGAGGGAGGGGCAGATAGAGGAAGAGAATCCCAAGCAGGCTCCACACTGTCAGTGCAGAGCCCGACTCGGGGCTTGAACTCACGAACTGTGAGCCGCGACCAAGAGTTAGATGCTCAACCAACGGAGCCCCCCAGGCGCCCTGCTAAGAGATCCTTTTAGAAATGAAAAATCAGGGACACCTGGGGGGCTCTGTAGGTTGAGAGTCCAACTTCAGCTCAGGTCATGATCTCGCGGTCTGTGGGTTCGAGCCCTGAGTTGGGCTCTGTGCTGACAGCTCAGAGCCTGGAGCCTGTTTCAGATTCTGTGTCTCCCTCTCTCTCTCTCTCTCTGCCTCTCCCCAGCTCGTGCTCTGTCTCTGTCTCAAAAATAAACAAATAATAAATTTTTTTTTTTAATTAAGAAAAAAGAAATGAAAAATCACTGGGACAGAAAGGAACAGGCACACCCGTGGTCCGTAAGGAGAAACCGCTGTCCCCACATCTCTCCTCCAAACGGCTCCTACTGTGGTGACCGGTGGCCTGCGCGGTACCGAATCCAGGAGACACCTGCCAAGTGTCTGACTACGTCTGGCACAGATGGCCCCACCCTCCTCCCTAAGGTCCATGACCCCACACTTTCCCGGCTTCTCACATCTCTGGTCACTCCACCACCGCCTGGACCTGCCCTCTACACACCAGGGCCCCTCGGCCTTTGGTCTGCCTCCTCTTTCTCGTGCCTCCGCCCAACGGCCTCCTCTTAACGACCAATCCTGACCCTTCCTCCGAACGGCAGCCTGGATCTCCACTTGCCCACGGCTCATCTCTGCTCAGCCTTCAAACTCAACACATCCAAGATGGAACCCGTCACCTCCCCCTCCAGCTTCCCCCCTTGGTGAGGGCACCGCCCCTTCTCTCTAGCTGACAGTGTGGGTGTCTTCATCTCCGCCCCACCTCCCTTTTGTCACTGTGATAGCCTGGGTAACCCAGTGAGCCCATGGCATTGCCCTGCCACAGGGATTGGGTGAGGGATGGACATGGGACTCAATGGCGGCCAATAAGAAACAAGGGGAGGGCTCAGGGAATTCTAGAAGAGATGCTTTCTGGAGAAAGCCTGCAGAATAGCCCGTCCCCTCCTCCTCCTGCAAGGCATCGGTGGGACGTCTCAACCTGTGGTGGCCATTTTGCCAGCAAGCGGGAAGCCAGCCTGAGACGATGGTGGAAAGACCCCAAGCACATCTCTGAACTGCTGGATCCAGTTGGTCCTGAAGGCTGCCCTACTGCTGGATTTCCCATGCTGCGAGTTATGGCGGATTACACGGCACAAAGATGGCTGCCCCAATGGTTCTCCTACCCCACATGCTCCTCCTAGCGTCACGTTGAGCCTCCCTCACAGGGAACGGGGGCCTGTGTCCCCTCCCCTTGAGCCCGGGCTTGGTGGGGACTTTGTCATGATCTCGGCCAACAGAGTATGGCAGAGGCGACGACGCATGACCTGTGAGGCTGGGCCGTGTTAAGGCGCAGCTCCTGCCTGGCTGGCAAATCCAGCTGCCCCGGGGTTGCTATGCTGACGAGCCCACGCGGAGGGAAGGCACAGACACAGAAAATCTGTTTTTTGGTTTTTTTTTTTTTGAAAGAGAGAAAAGAGAGTGTATGTGTGTGCATGAGCTGGGGAGGGCCAGAGAGAGAGACAGAGAGAGAATCCCAAGCAGGCTCCACGCTGTTAGCGCAGAGCCTGACAGGAAGCTCAAACTCAAGAACCATTGAGATTGTGACCTGAGCCAAAATCAACAGTCAGACGCTTAACCGACCAAGCCCCCCAGAAGCCCCTTTGTGTGTAGTTCTTGAATGACGGGACTGGTCCTGCCTTACTGGTCTATAGCGCCCAAGAGGGCAGGGCCTCCGTTTTCTCCACTACTGTATCCGCAGAGTCTGGCACATAGTAAGTGCTCAGAAAATGCCCATGAGTGAGTGAATGGTTTTCCCAGAAATGAGCACGGCTACCAGCAGGAAGCTTCTGGCTCTCTTCCCAGGGCAGCCAGGCTGCCCTCCTGCCCGGGCGCCCCACGCTCACCATATTTCTTGTTGAACAGGTCCTGGACTTGCTCCCTCAGCGTGTTGGCGATGTCGATGCGCGAGAGCCTAGCGTCGTAGTTTTCTGCAAAGTGAGAAACAATTATGGACTTGGGGCTGTTAAATTAAAAGGCACTCAGAGACTTCGAAAGAATATGATTTCCTCATTACGGGGAATTCCTTCTCGGGCAATCATCGGATCCTCAGAGTGGGCCCCTCAGAGTCCTTCAGAACTGACATCTAGACAGAGACGTGGGTTTTTCCGGAAGGATGCGCACTGTTGTGACAATGGCAACGAGTGGGAAATTAAGTTAATTGTTGACATTTGAAAACCACTAAACCAGTAAATAAGCCTGAGAGGTGAGAGATGCAGGAGGAAGAAAGGCTAGGAGCTTGGGTGGGGAGGACCGTCCGGGTCCCTCTCTCACCGCTGGGGCACCCATGTGCCAGCCCATGCCCTGTGGGCCTCAGACGGGCCCCTGACCTGGAGAGATGCAGCCTGGGCCTGCCTGGGGGGAGAGAGAGAGGTGACGCAGGGAGGGAGTAGACCTCTGGGTGGGTGGGGGTGGGGTGCAGTGAGGACCCCAGTCCTCTGTGAGGCTGGCTACCAGGAGTCTCGGCTGGGGAGGGCGTTGCGAGTGCCCCTCACTGCAGCAGGTTCTGGCCGCCTGGGAGGGAGTGAGCGAGAGCGGCAGGGTGGTGAGCAGCCGCCCCCCTGGGATTTGGGTCCTATCTCTGGGCCCCCCAACTCCTGTCACTAGTCTCGCTGACCTCACTCTCTCCTCAGAGCCACAGGGACCACCCAGGGGCCAGGGGGGAGCAGCCCACCCTCGGGGACTTGCGGCCACACCCCGGAGCTGGAGCTGTCCCAGCCAGGCGTGTGGACTTCTTGCTCCAGCTTCTCCCGCCTTCCATCCATCTCCTGTCCCACTCACTGCCTCTCACCCCTTCTTGGCCTAGATGCGGTTATTCTCCATAGACCCCCCCCAGCCCCCCATGCACTTAGGGAGCTCACCCTCCTTTGGTTTCAAGCACTGAGCACAGCTGACCACCTAATACGAAGTGGGCAGGTCAGTGCCTCCCCGGATGGGGCAGTGGGGGGCCTCCTGCACCCCGCCATACCCCCACACCCTCTTCCTCCTGCCCCACCTGCCAGCCGGCCTCACTCAGACCCCCAGGCCTGAAGTTGAGGGCCAGCCCCTCCCACCCACGGCCTGGCCCTCCAAACCCAAGCCGGGTCAAGGTCACGGCCCTGGGACAGCGGACCCCATCCTGAGCTGCAACCTTACCTTGAAAACCCTGTCTCTTCAGGCTCTCGTCCACAAGAGGGTCCCCGGACTCCCTCTCTGGGGGCAGGAAGGGGCGGGGAAGGTGGGGGGGAAAGGGTGGGAAAGGGGGGAGGGGGAGGAGAGAAGCCAGGGTGAGCAGCCAGCTCCTGGGACCCAAGGACAGAGGTGGGATCTCTCGGGGGAGACCGGGTGGGGAGGGAGGGGGGATGCCAGGGGAGGCAGGACCAGGACACAGGAAGAGGGAGAGGGGATGGGGGCGGAGACCTGGGCCCCTCCCACACCCCCACCAGTGACCCTGCACGGGGGTACCTTGGCTGTCCGTGATGGGCTCTTTGACTCCCTCGGTGAGCAGCTCAGGTCTGGAAAACACGACAGCAGGACAATGGCTGAGGCCCACCTCTAGGTCAGCACCCCTGCACCCTGGTTTACACAGCTGTGCCAGGCCCTCCCGGCTCTGGGCAGCCCAGGTGTGGGGTCCCCGTCCTTCGCCCCGCCCCCACTCCCCCCGCACTTGTCCTGCTGACCCATGTATGACATTGGGGGGCTGTGGCAGGCTCTGTGGACCCAGCCCAGGGGGAGGCCGGCCTGCCCTCAACCACGTGGCAATGCCTCCCGCGGGGCCCGTGAACGATCTCCGAGTGTTGGGGCGCCGGTTCTGGCCGACACCGGAGAGCTGCTGTTTCACCCGGAGCCAGGGCCTTGGGGACCAACCCTGGCTCCGCGCTAGCGTCTGTGTCTCCAGACCCCACAGAGCCCTTCCCAGGCGTCATGGTGCCTGCTCGGCGGCCCTGAGGTGGGTACACTCTCTCCATCACTCCAATCAGAGGACGCGGGGACTGAGGCTGAGGAATGTGCTGGGACCTCACAGCAGGAAGGGGCAGAGCTGAAAACAGGCACCCGGCCCCCCTCACTGGCTGAGAGCCCTCCCAACCAGGGCCTCTGCTTTCTCATCTCACACCGCGGGAGCCCGCGCAGCTCCTGACTCTCAGGCCGTCATTTCACTTCCTGGGACTCAGTTTCCCCATAAGGAGAAGGGGGAGAGGTAGTGGTGGAGGAGTTTCTAAATGCGGCCCGAGGCCCTTTCCACCTGAGACTGTGCTCCAAGGTGGGGCTGGGCCTCCTCCCTCCTCCCTCAGGCCCTGAGAGCCCAGCTCTGGGCATGAGCCAGGTGCCCGCTGCCAGAAGAGGCACCAAGTCCTCATCCATGGGGTGCCTGACCTGGGCTGGGGGTGCCCTGGCATCTGGCCTTTGGTTTCCCTTCTAGGCAGGGTCTCCTCTGTGCCGCTGCTTGGCTACCCCTGTGACAGAGAGTTCATTACCTCTCCCGGCAGCCTCACCCACAGACCCATCCTCACACTGAACCCTGGTCCCCATGACACCCTGTCCCCACCGTCCCCACGACAGCCATCAGGAGATTCAAAGGAGTGGTTCTCCACTCCCTGTCCCACTCCATCGGCCCCTCCTGCCAGTGTGACCTCCCCAACGGCCTCAGCCTGACACGGACTCAAGAACAGGCCTGCTCTAGCTGGACAAGTCTGTACTGAAGACAGGGCATTTAGAATCCGGGCTCTATGTGGGCGCCTGGGTGGTTCAGTCGGTTAAGCGTCTGACTTCAGCTTAGGTCATGATCTCGTGGTTTGTGAGTTCGAGCCCCGCATCTGGCTCTGCGCTGACCGCTCAGAGCTTGGAGCCTGCTTCAGATTCTGTGTCTCGCTCTCTCTCTCTGCTCCTACCCGTTCATGCTCTCTCTCTCTCTCTAAAATAAATAACAGTAAAAAATTTAGAAACCGTGCTATATGATAAAGAATCTGGTCTCCATCTCTGGTTCCTGGGACGTAACCTTTCACCTTTGGTTATTTCTCAGTGACACGAGTGTCTTTGTTATTGTTCCTGGTGGGACCCTGGGATCACATCTGAGTTTATGCTAAGGAGATGATGTGGGATTCTGGAAGACCGACCATGTGATCGGGAGGACAGGCTTTGAGCCACCTGCCCGCAAGCCCACCCTCCTGATTTCCAGGGACGGAGTTCAGCCATGCGGCCAATGACACAGCAAGCATGCCTCTGGAGTGGATCCCAGTGAAAATCATGGACACCGAGGCTCAGTGCTGGAGGGTGACATGCCCTGAGAACAACAGGACCCTGCCTTTTGTGTCACCTCATTTGGCTGGTCTTCATTAGTATCCTTTATATAAAACGGGAATTGTAATATAGCACTTTCCCGAGATCCAGGGGTTGTTCTAGCTAATTACTGAACTTGGAGGGAGTTGTGGGAAGCCTCAGATTTAGAACCAGTTGCTCAGAAGTGTAGGTGGCCCAGGGACCCCCGAACTTGCAGCTGGGGAATGAAGTAAGCACGGTCTTGTTGGAGATCATGTCCTGTACCTGTGGCATCTGCTAAGGCCCTGTGGTCGCCACCAGAACTCACTGTAGCGTTACATCAGCCAGAGCCTTCCACCACGACTCCCGGGTAGCAATCTCCTGTCCGTGTGAACCCACTCATGATTTTAAGTTTCCAAAGGGTTTCTAAGCTTTGTAGAATTTGATGAAAGCAAAGGATCCCTTCCCCAGAAGAAGGCACCAAAGAATATGAACATTTGGCTTACAAGCTCGAGGATCTGGGTGTTAAGAATGCTTTCTGACCAAAAGTTTAGAAAGTTGAATTTGATTTGTGCCAGCTGTGATGACTGGTAGGGGTTGTCTGAAGTACAGCTTACAAGGGTGTGAAGGTCAGGTACAGGCAGAAAGTGCGTCGGTCAATTACTGATGTCGCCAGCAGGTGATGATTTCTCACATATATAAATATGCAGTTGACCCTTGACTGACACGGGTTTGAACTGTGTGGGTCTATTTACATGCGGAGCTTTCTCAAAAAATACAGCTCAGTACTGTAAATGCATTTTTTCTTCTTTATATTTTTTTTGGTAAGTTTTTATTTTTTATTTATTTTTTTTTTGGTAAGTTTTTATTTTTTAAAAAAATTTTTAATGGTTATTTTTTTTTTGAGAGAGAGAAAGAGTGAGAGCGGGGGAGGAGTGGAGAGAGAGGGAGACACAGAATCCGAAGCAGGCTCCAGGCTCCCAGCTGTCAGCACAGAGCCCGACATGGGGCTTGAACTCACCAACTGTGAGATCATGACCTGAGCTGAAGTTGGATTCTTAACTGACTGAGCCACCCAGGCGCCCCTCTTTTAATAAGTTTTTAAAAAATTTTTTCATGTTTACTTTTGAGAGAGAGAGAGAAACAGCACGAGCAGGAGAGGGGCAGAGAGAGAGGGAGATACAATCTGAAGCAGGCTCCAGGCTCCGAGCTGTCAGCACAGAGCCTGATGTGGGGCTTGAACCCATGAGCTGTGAGATCATGACCTGAGCCGAAGTCAGACACCTAACCGACTGAACCCCCCAGGCGCACCATCGGCCTCCCTTCCTCGGTATAAAGCGGGATGAGAAGATGCTTGTGAGCACAGGAGAAAGGCTGTCCCAGCACCATATGGAGACAGATCAGCTTATAAGCATGTGCTATGGACTTGTCTCCCACCTTGGAGGGAAGGACAGGGCAGGCAGCCCCCATGTGTCACGGCCCTCCTGAACGCGGACATTCAGGACATTCGGCTCCCAGCATCCTGTCCCCACACTGACCTCTGCCCCGCGCAGGGGTGAGTCCCGGGTATCTGCGCCCCGGAAGGCCCCCACACACATCAAACACAACACACGTCAGACCGACTCCTGACCGCAGCCTCCACCTGGACCCCCTCATCTCAGAGAACGGATCACGGCCACCCTGGGGGAGTAGTCTAGACTCTGAGTCATTTGGGCCCCCCTTTCTCTCACGCACCACAGTCAACGTGTCAGCAAATGCCGACACCCCATCTTCAGAATACCGCCTGACCCTGAGTTCTCACCAAGCTGCCACCCTGGCCACGGGGGCAGAGGAAAGCCTCCTCGCTGGTCCTGCCTCTGCCCACAGTCCCCAGATGGCCCTGGGATACGGGGATATGGGCAGCACCCTGGCGCCCCAGGCCCAACACACACACAGCGAATCCTCACCACAGCCCAGGAGACCCGCTAACGAGTATCCGCCCGCTATACGTGTCGGCACATGGTCGGGTGGCTTCGGGTCCAGTGCGCCTGGGCCTGCCCATGCATGGTCCCCATGCCTCCCACCAGTCCCCATGCCTGCCCGGCTGGGCCCAGACTCTACCACCCGCTGTTTAAATGCAACAAAAAAGCCCGCCCTGATCTGAGAACGGAGAAGGTGATTTGGCGCTTCTCCCACGCGCCAGGCGAGCCCGGAGGGGCCCCCGTGGGCGCGGCCAGGCCTCACCTCTTGATGACAAACTGGATGCTGTTGCTGGCTTCCAGAATCTTGCGGAGCTTGGCGATCCCAAAGCAGTTGGGCCTGCGGAGGGAGATGCCTTCAGGCAGCCCCACCACAAACAGCTCCTCTGGGTACATCAGGAACTTGGAGTAGGGCACCTTGACGGGCTCCGAGATGCCAATGGCCTTGGCTGCAGAGACACGGCTGCTGTAGGGCCACCCAGGGCTACCTATGAGCCTCTGCTCTGGCCTCCCTCCTCTGTGCAGGGCGGGGGCGGAGAGGGGCGCAGGCCCCAGGGCTCTCAAGAGTCAGCTCTTAGTTGATCCCTTGACCCTCCTGAGATGATACTGTTGCCCGTAGTCTGCAGTAAGAGACTGGGAGCTCGGAACGGACGGGCTTCAGGTGGTAGAGCCCCAGGGATGCAGGATGTGAGTCAGGGTCAGCGGGGCCCCCAAACCCACACGCAATCGGTGCCCTCACACCTGGGCGGTGCCAAAGAAACCACCGCTGGCTGGTGAGACCTGGCATTGGCTCCCCCCAAGCCCACATGTCCCCTGTGCTGCCGGCAAGACCTTCCAGAGACCTCCTCCCACCAGAAGTAACCCTTGAACTCTGTGTGGCCCAGCCCCACAGCTTAGGAATGGGACAGGCCGGAGGCCCAGGCCAACCTCTCACTGCCCTCACACTCAGACAGGCCGTATCTTTCCCCAGGCCTCGCTTTTCCTCGTCTGTAAATGGGTATGAGGACGCAAGGGTTTTGTGGGATGGGAGAGTTCGTTGGAAACCCCGAGCCAGTGCCCAGCAAACCACTAGGGCCTAATAAAAGAATAGCGCACACCGCCCCCCCCCCCCCCCCCCCCCCCCCCCCCCCCCCCCACTCCCCACCGCCAAACAATCTTTCCTGGACTCTCAAATGGGAAAGTCCTTGTTGAAGGCAGGGCCCGCTACCTGGACGCCCATCCAGCTCCTTGCTCACCGTATCGTGTGTTGAAGAGCAGCTCCACCTGCTTCCGCAGCGGCCGGATCACGTCTCCATGGCTGTCTGGAAGGCAAAAGGCAGCCCGTTGGGCCTCCCCCGGGGCAACAGCACCCTGCTTCTCAGCTCATGCCCCAGCTCTGCCGGCACCAAGAATGACCCTGTGTTGGGACCTTGGAATGGGGGAGGGCTGGGGTGGCAGCAGCAGGTGATGTATTCCCCCAGAAATGGCACCCCCCCCAAAAAAAAAGAAATGGCACCCCCAGACTGGTCCCCAATTCCCAGACTCCAACGTCTGCTCGTAAAATCGGGTCTAAGGCATCACCGGACCTGAATGGTGATTTGGAAGACCTTGCAGCCTGAGAACGACCACAGGCCATTCTGAGTGACTGTGTGTGTCACTTTGGACACAGTTCGGAAGTGACTCAGCCAATAGGTGAATGGTAAGCCTGCAAATTGAGTACGCCACCACCAGGTGGCAATGGAGTTTTCTATCCCTACCCCTGGCCAGGCTGGGTTTGGGGAAGTGACCCTTCTCTCCTCTCACAGCCACTCTTTCCATTCCAGGGACAGATACCCCCAGGAGGAAAACAGCCCCATCCCACTTCGCTCCCTCTTCCTGCACTCCGCTCTCACTCCTGAGAAGGAGCCGGTCCGTTGGACACAAAGCCAGTTTTATGCTTCCTGGACTCCGTTCTACTTGCTCAGTCCCCAGACTTAGAGCCTTTGTGAAAGATGCAGGGTGTGTATAAAAACAAAGCTCCGTGTGTCGCTCACCAGAAAGAGCTTTCCATACCCTTGACCGGGCACCTCCGAGTTCCATGAACCCCCTCCCACCTTTAGGCAGCCCACAGGACCCTCCCCTCCAAAAGGGGTGTTGGAGGGAACTGGAGACAATGGGGAGAGGAAGGGCGGGTGGAGGAGGGAAGGGGGGATGGGGTGACGGGGTAGGAGGTGGACAGTGCCTCACCCTCTGCGGGCCTCTCCTCAGGCCGTGGGTCCTCGCCGGGGCCTTTCTCTGGAAGAGAAGAGAGGGTGCCAGGGAGCCATGCGCATCACCTCCCTGGTCGCGTGCTGCAGGGGTCAGGCCGGACACATGGGGAGCAGCTGCACAGCACAGCCACCCCCCTGGACAGGATCGGGGGCCTCGAGCCTGCACAGGCACTGCACGTGCCCTCCTTGTATCTTCACAAGACCCAAGTCAGTCCGTTCTTTCCAGATGCTAGGTTCTGCTCCAGGCTTGGAGGACACTGGGGACGAGGCAAAGCCCCGCCCTCTGTGACGTCACATAGACCCCGTAATACCAGTCAGCGGTGATGCCCTGATCCATCAGGTGATGCCCTGATCCATCAGGGGACACAGGGGAAGAGGGCAAGTCGGAAGCGTAGACCCATCCCAGTCAGGCGGTCCAGGGGACTCTCGGATGAGATGGGACTGACCCCAGGCATTGACCCCGGCCTAAGCTCCCAGCAACACACCCAGCCTCGTCCCCAGTAAGCGTGGACATGGTCAACTCGAAAGGTGTGTGCTAAAGCTGCACGGGGGTGGGGGCTCCTGCTGGCCTGGGGGGGCTGAGGAGAGGAGGCTTCCTGCAGGAGGGAGCACCTGGCTGAATACGAGGGTCCAGGAAAAGCAGTGGGGGGCAGGGAAGAGGGACACAGGCAGGGAAGGAAGAGCATCTTGGGTGGGGGTAAACTGAGGTTTTGGCTGGAGGAATAAGTACCTGTGTGCAGACGGGGTGGGAGCTGGGGGGGGGGCAGGTTTGGGGCAGAGGGGCAGGGCTCAGGCGGTGGGGGGCACACTGCCTCACATTGCCGGTGCAGAGCAAGGAAGGCATCGGGGGATTGTCAGCGCTTGAAACAAGGGGAAGGAGGCTGTCATCTGGGATGCTGCCAGACGCTTCCACCCGCAGGACTAAGCCCTCATGATGAACTGCCGAGCTGGGAAGCGGTGGGACAGGTGGACCCCAGGCCTGCCAGACTCCGGCTGTGCCTGTCTACTCCCCTGCCAGCTCCTGCAGGGGGCACTCGGGGACAAAGGGATACAGGGCGCTGCCCCCTGTCCCAGACGGGATTGTGAGGGGGCAGGAAAGGGGCTGGTCTTGGGGAGAGCTGTCAAGGGTCAAAATTCGCTCAGGATGGAGGGGAAGTGAGCAAGCCAGAGGCTTGGGGCTCAGCCTGGAAGGGGCTGGAAGGTTCTGGAGGGCTTCAGCTACGCTCAGCCGACTTGAAAAGGTAGAGGGCCAGCCCTGGGCCCCCTGTGGGCGGTGGATGCCGGGTCTCCTGACTCCGCACCAGCAAGCTGAGTCCAGCACTCAACCAACGACGGAGGGAGATTTGGAGGGTCACTATCCCAGCTCCCTCCTCACGGCTGCCTGGCTGTGGCTCTCATGGTCCTCTGGCTCAGCTGTCCTCGGCGGTGATGGGTCTGCTAACACTTCCCGCTTCCCACCCCATACCGTCCATGTGCCTGGATCTCCCACATAAATCCAAGCAAGCAGAGCCTTATCTCAGGTTCAGCTTCTGGAAGGTCCCGCGCATAAACTGCATTTGTGCCATTTCTAGATGAAGCGTGGGGCAGACGGGGAGAGAGGGGTGTGGTGGGACGAGGGGGCCACTGGAGGAGGTCCTCCCTATGATAAGGAGTCTGGTAACTACAGGTCCCAGGTGAAGGGAACTGCCCAAGCGTGACATCTGGAGTGCCAATTAAGGTTAAGGTGGCCCGGAGGGACACGAGGGGGGAGGGAGACCTGGCCAGGGAGTCCGTCCCTGCCATCAGCTGTCCGTGTGCCGTCTTCCCGGCAGGAGTGGCTATTTGGCAGCTTCGGTCCCATTACAGAGGGGCTTCTGTGGGGCCCTGACACAGAAGGAAACTGGGGGGCACCTGGGGGAGCTCAGTCGGTCAAGTGTCCAGCTTTGGCTCAGGTCATGATCTCACGGCTTGTGAGTTTGAGCCCCATGTCGGGCTCTGTGCTGACAGCTTGGAGCCTGGAGCCTGCTTCAGATTCTGTGTCTCCCCGCCTCTCTCTCTGCCCCTCCCCTGCTTGTGCTTGCTCTCTCAAAAATAAACAAACACTGGGGAAAAAAAAAAAAAAAAAAAAAAAAGAAGGAAACTGGGCCGGCTCTGACCCATGTGCTCTGGGTCCCCCAAACATGGGGAACTTGCTGGATTCTCCACCCAGGCATGGGGGCTGGGCTATTTACCCTGAACGAGCCCACCCACTTGCTCACCACACCCCCGTTTTCAAGTGTGAATAACCGGAAACACTCTCAAGTAATGATCCAGGACCCGGCAAATACCACGGTTCCGTAGAGAGATGGCCAAAGCCCAGGGTCAGGGAATGAGGGACAGCAGCGCCCGTCAGCACTTAGCAACATGCAGGAAAAAAGGACATGAAGGATGGACGCTAAAGGAGTAACTGCCCAAAGAGGGGGCCACACAACTTCCCCTGCACCAGTTACACGGCCCCACAGCATTTATTTTACAACGTATACGTGCAACCTGGACATACAGACACACAACCTTCTAATCCACGGCGGTCCCGAAAACCTCCAAATCTTCATACGTGACCAGTTTTGAGCGGGGGGCTTTGAAAGAAGCCTTGGGGAGGCAGCCCAGGGCCAGGCTTCGGTTCCCACTTGGTCACACCAAAGAGGAGAAGCCTTTCCGACAGAGCCGGACCATGGCCGTGTGGGTCCCCGGCCGCCCAGCCCCCCGGAGTCCAGACCTGAGACCCCCCCCACACACACAGTGCTGCCAACGCAGCCAGGTGCTGCGCGACCTTAGTGGCTGGGCCACTCTGTCCACTCATCCTGAGCGCCCACAGTTTCTCCACAGGCAGCTGCCAAGTCCTGTCCTGCCCGGCCCTTTGAGAATATTCTCTCTCCATTCCCAAGGTATTAAAAGCACCTCACAACCGACTGAGGAAATGAAAAAGATAAATTGCTTAACCTAACACGGCTTCTCTTCCCACTGATCCTTTGCTTTTCTGTTTGTTTAACCAGTCATTATGTTTTCAACAGTTGCAAACGGCAGCTCTGTGCCCTTGTGTGCTCCCCGCCTTCCTGCCTATTTTTGGTGGCTGCTGACAGCCCGTCAGGAGGAAGCCATCAACAGTTCCCCAGACAGGTGGGCTGGCTCTTTCCAGGTTTTTCGCTGTTACCATTAACATGACCACGAACATATCTGCAGCAAACGGTGTCTGTATTTCAGATGATTTCCTAGGACTGGACCCCTGGACCTACCGGGGGGTGCTCATTTCGATCGCTCTCGAAGCTGACATATTTCTTTAAAAAGCAACGCGGCTATGCGCATTCTTCCCAAGACCGTGAGCAGCCACCCCTCAATACGCTCAACAGAGATGCGGCCCAGTTAAGGGGTGCAAAAGAGATGCCCCTGAGTTAGAGCCCTCATCTCTCTGAGGCTGCGTGCGTTTGTTTCGCTTGCTGTCTCTTTCTTTCTTTTTTTTGGTGCAATCATCCCCACTCATGTCATGGCGGACACCGGGACGTACCACTCAGGGCAGCAGGGAGTGTGGTCAGCAGGTGACCCCGTGGCAGGTGCCCCTCCGAGGACCAGCCTTCCGGGGCGGCTCCCATCCCACGACTGGTTGAGGACATCCCAGTTCACTTTGGAACAGCCCCAAGGGGCCATTCTGGCTTCCAGAGCTTCCCATGGGGTTTGCAGACGCCGTCGCTGGGGCTCCATCAAGGCTCTACCTCCCCTACACCCCCCTGCTTCCATCCTTTCTTACACAAATGCATCTAATAAGTCCCATGCACATGAAACTCCATCCCAGAGTCCATTCCCTGGGGAACCCTGCCCGCAACAGTGTCCTGGGGCTCTGAACGTTTCCCGTGGATTCCAGCCCAGAGTCCTGGCCTCTGACGGCCACAGGGAACATCACTCCTGGGTGCACTGTCCATTCTTTCTGGAAACTGCATCAAACCGAACTACCTTTAACCAACTAACTGAAAACACAAGAAGGAGGACCGAGCCCGCCAGGACACTATGCGCAGGCGCCCCCAGGAGGAGGCTGGGGTCCCCGGGCAGCCCTGCTTCCCCAGCTGGGCCACAGTCAACCCCAGATCCTGATGTCCCAGAGCCGACTCGGTCCCGACACAAGAGCCTGCGCCGGCTCCCTTCTAATGGTTCAGTCATCCGCGTGGAACTCTGTTTCTGAACCGAGCCGGGGCCAGGTGCCCCGTTTGCAGCGTGCACAAGCCCTCCTCTGGAAGTCTGGTTCCCACTGCGGCTCATCCTCTGTCCCCCGTGACTTCTCAAGTGCTGTGGATGGTGGATCTCAGGGATCATCGGCTTGGGATCCAATTCCTCAGAAGATGGGGAGCTGCACTGTCACAGCGGCTCTAGAGGGGCTGCACATCCCCTCGCTGAGCGGGACTCCCAGGTCCTGCTCACACACTCCTGTTTCCAGGCCACTCTCCCTGACAGAGAAGAAGGACGCAGACAAGGAGCAGAGGCGTTCTGCTTTCATTCTGTCAAATTAGCACGGCACCATCCGCCCGGGCCTGCCGGAAACCTCCTGGATGTTTCTGGTCATGTGTCTGTGTTTGGTTGGGGAAAAAATTTTCAAGTGCAGAAAAGCGCACAATGTTATGACAAACACCCATGTATCCACCAGCCGGAATGAATAGATGTTAGCATTTTGTCATATTTGCACCTATTTTTTTTAAATGTCTATTTTTGAGAGAGAGAGAAAGAGATTGCACCAGGGAGGGGCAGAGAGAGGGGGAGACACAGAATCCGAAGCAGGCTCCAGGCTCTGAGCTGTCGGCACAGAGCCCAGTGCGGGGCTCGAACCCATGAACTGAGAGATCATGACCTGAGCTGAAGATGGCCACTTGGCCGACGGAGCCACCCAGCTGTCCCTGAACCTAATTTTTTTACATAATACATTAAACCACACCATTTCTAGGTTTCTAAACTTACATAAACTCTGTATCTTCCCTCCCCTTCTGCACTTGCTATTCACACTGAATGTTAACATTTTTTTGTTTTTAATGTTTATTTATTATTGAGAGACAGAGACAGAGAATGAGCATGAGAGGGGCAGAGAGAGAGGGAGACACAGAATCTGAAACAAGCTCCAGGCTCTGAACTGTCAGCACAGAGCCCGATGTGGGGCTTGAACCCACAACCTGTGAGACCATGACCTGAGCTGAAGTTGGACAGTTAACCAACAGAGCCACCCAGGGGCCCCTATTTTTTTTATTTTAGAGAGAGAGTGCACGAGTGGGGCAGAGGGAGAGAGAGAGAATTCCAAGCAGGACCCACGCTGTGTGGAGCCCAGTGCGGGGCTCGATCTCATGACCCTGGGATCATGACCTGAGCTGAAATCGAGTCAGATGCTCAACCAACTGAACAACCCAGGTGCCCCTGTGCTGGTCACTTCAATGCCGTATGGTATCTGTAAGCATCCTCACCGCCAGCCCCCTGAATCAAGCCCACAGGGGGTAATCACACACACAGGAAACAAACAGAAGCCAGTCCCTTCCTTCAAGTTTCGTGGCCCGGCATCCTTAGTACAGAGCTTTCAAAATTTGAATTATTCAGGTACTAACATTTTCTGCCGTGCCTGTGAACCCTATGCACTATATTTTATGTAGTATTTGTTTTTGTGATAATCAACTTCTAAAAAACCTTACCTATGAGAATTCTTATTTTTCCTATCTATAATAATTATAGAACGTTCATTAATAATGGTTGGAGACAGGAGCTGGGCACCTGAGATTCATTAAATAACTCTTTTCAATTTGGGGTGTTTTTAAACCCTTCCAAAACGAAATTAAAAAGACAAAACACAGAGAAGGCCACACCCTCCCCACTGACCACTCCTCTTGGCCAGGATAATCTGTTTCTGCCTTTGTTCTTTTCCTCCGTGGTTTATTCTCAACCCCACGGTCGAGTAAATACTGCTAAAATATCCCTCATTAGCTCCAACCACCCCCCACGAGGAGATTTCGGTCTCCTCAGAGTCCAGCCCTCACTCCTTCCTTCAACGTACTCGCCCTGCATGACCCAGACCATCACTACCTCCATGACCTCACCTTCCCTACCTTACTCTGCTCCAGTCACCCAGGCCTCCTTGCTTCTCCTTGAACATGCTGGATGCAGCCCACCTCAGGGCCTTTGCACATGCTGGTCCCACTGCCTGGAAAGCTCTTTCCTGACATCCAATGGCTCCCACCTCCTTCAGGTCTTTGCCCCAACGTCACTTTCTTAGCGAGGTCCTCTCTGACCACCCAAGTCCTGTAATAACCACTGCACGCCCGCCTCCTCATACTGCCCCGTCCTGGCTTGTTGCCCAGCACTTAACACCATCCGACCCTCTATTTTACCTATTGATTTCCTTACTCTTTGTCACCCTACATTAGGAGCAAAGGGACCTTGGTGTGTTTGGTATACATACTGCTCTGTCCCCAGTACCTCCTGGTACATAGAAGGTGTTCAATAAATACTTGTTAAACAAATGAACACATTAATTCAGATGGGGGCTCCTGGGAACAGTATAGAGGCCAGACAACACAAACCAAGTTACTTCAAGTTTCCAGAAAGGAACCTAGCCAGTATAGGGACTCAGGCATACACTGGGTTTTCTCTAAGTCAAAGGCAAGGCAAGCCTGGGGGCTTCCTGGCCCACCCCTCCTATAATGCCCCAGGTAGGGCCCCAGCCTGTTTCTTACCAGTCAGCATCTCCATCCCATAACCAGAATCTTCGGAGGGCAGATGCCCAGGCATCGAGTCTGTCATTTCCTCCGAGGTTGGCGAAGGGTCTGGAGAATGACAATAGCATCTTCTGCCTGTCCTACCCCGTCACAGTCCCCCAGGGTCCCCCAGCACAGCAGGCCCGCAGAGCAGGACCCCTAAGGAAGCCGGGTCCTGGAACCCTGGGAGAGGAGCTTTAGTGGCCTGCTGTGCCACAGGCCGGGCGGGGGCCCGAGGGGTGTGGACCCCATGCTGAGCCTCAAGAACACTTGCTTCTTCACAGACGTGGAAAGTGAGGCCCAGGGGGCGTCTAAGACTGGAATCAAACGCAGGCCCCCTTATTCCCATACCTTGTCTTTTCCTTCCTCCTGCCTGACAAATCCCAGGGTGGCCGGGCCTGAGCGGGAAGGCCCCTTCATGGCCCTTCGGAGACAGAGGGGACAGCCCAGGAGGGGACACGGTGGCTCTGAGAGCAGCTTGATTCCTGGAGGTTCAGGCCGGGCAGCAAGGTCAGCCCTTCAGATACCTGTTCCTTACCTGGGACGGTGACCTGAATGATATCTAGATCTTCCGGTTCGATTTTAATGGGCCTCAGCCCACTCAGCTCCCCTGACGTTCCTGTGGGGAGGGAATGAGGGATCCGGTCAGGTGTGGGTGCCAGCTGGGCCAGGCAAAGCGAAGCAATTCCAGAACATTCCTGCGTCCGTGGATGGTTAGCAGCGCCCCAGGAAAAGTCAGCCCGGCTCCAGGCTCCTGCCCAGACCAGGAGTGGAGGGTCAGGTAGGCCCTCAGGCCTGTCCTGGTATCTCCAGTTTATAGGCTTGGTGACTGAGGCCCACAAAGGGGAAGCCACTTGTCACTGACATGCTAAGAACCTGCCCCTCCAGCTGTCACTCCCCATGCCCCCCGCCAGGGAGCTCCCAGCATGCTGCAAGGTCTGGGGGGCAGGGATGGGCAGAGCTAACTCATTAGTACTCCAGGCCCCGTCTGAGCTGGTCTCCTCCCCAGGGCCGCCCCCAGGACACACACGCACAGTAGGGTCCCACGTCTCCTCACCTGGCCCGCCTTCTTCAAGGACCCCGTTTTTGTCTGACCTGAGGGAAGGAAGGAAGGAAACCAAGAGACGATGCACGTCAGCCCCAGCTCTTCCCCTCTAGGCAGCCAGGAGCCCACAGACAATGTTGTACATGCCCCTGTCCACAGTCACCCCCGTCCCCACAGGACAGTCCCCGCGTGTCCTGAGTGAGATTCCTGGCACCCGGTCTCCTAGGACCACGGCCTCGCTTCTGCTTCCTGTCCTGGGTGGACGGTCTGGGCGTCTACCATCCCCACTGGGTGAGAATGCCTGGGGCCTGGGTCTGGCCCGTCTAGGAGCCCCACAACTGAGCACAGTGGGGTTCAATCGGCGCTTGCTGGGGGGGACTGGGAGCCGGGAGGCCACCAGCCTGGAGTGGGGACAGCGGTCTGGGAAGAGAGGCAGGGGCAGAGCCGGGCAGGGCGCCTGGGGTGGAAGATTCAGTAAACGCACGGAGCATTGTGGGGGAGGCCTGGGCTAGATGCGGGGATGAAGGGATGAGGGCACAAGGTGGGAGTAGGGCAGGGATCGGAGCAGAGTGACCCTATGCCTACACGGGGTGTCGCGGGTCAGGCCCTCGGGCCAGCCCCAGGCCTTGCTGCCCCCTGCAGTTGACACTACTAGCCCAGCGCAGGGGTGAGACCTTACCGAGCAGTCCCGGGCAGGTCGAGGACAGTGGCACGGGACAGCTCTGTAGAGGTGTCCTCCGGTGGGCTGGCTGGCTCCAGCTTCGTGGGGTCTTTGGTAAACTTGTTCCCTGGGTGGAGAGATGAGGGGGGTCAGGACAAAGTGCCCCAGCCTCCTGAGTGCGGGTCATGTGGGCAGGGGCCTCGGAGGGAGGCCCTCCAGGGACTCCTTGCGGGGGTCTGGCTTCTGCTGGGTCAGGAGCAGGTCCTGGTAGGAGGAATATGGGCCCCAGCACCAGAGGAGGCCAGGATCTGGAAGGGTTACAGGAGGAAGGAGCGGCCAGAAATGGCTGTCCTGACCTCATGCGCAGTATAGTCCGAGGGAACCCTCTAGAAAGGGGCCGATGCCCCCAGGGCCATACTATGTGACCGCTCTCTCATGTAATTATCGGAAAATCCCAGAGGAAGGTTTAACAGATGTGGAAAGTGAGGCTCCTACAACCCTGCCCAGGTCACAAAGCTGGCGGGATGTAGGGCCGGGACCAGGACCAGGTCTGTGGGACCCCAAAATCGGTGCTCCCTTTGCTGCCCGATGGTTATGGCCTGGGCTCTGGGGAGAAGAGCAGAACCGGCTTCACAGGACCGATTGATACGAAATGAAAGTAGAGCAGAACATGCTAACAGCTAGACTCCCCGACACACATTAGTATTCAGCAAGCGTCAGCTTTACTGTCCCTGAAGGGGCAGTCTGAACCAGGAGCCAGGGGACTGTGTCTGCACAGAAGCCACACCCAGGCCCCTCCCCATGCCACGGTCGGTCCCATGTGATGAGCTGCACTCATGGCCATCAGCTCGGGTGGCTTCAGAGCAGACTGGGTGGTACCCACACCTACCTGTGAAAATTCGCTCATCAAACATCCTGGGGAGAGAGAAGAGAGACAGGCATGAGGGCGATGCAGGCCGAGGGCCCCCCGGGCTTGGGGACAGGCTTCCAGACCACCTGGGTGCTGCTCCACACACATGGCTACCGCTGCGGACCGGGGTCCCAGCTGGCCACGTGTGGGGATGGGATGGGGCACAACCCAGAACAGCCAGGAACCCCAAACCACCTCTCTCCAGCCAGGGTGGGCTGGTCCTGGAGGGCCCACACTGTCCATCACGGTGCCCCAGGGGGCCTGTCCAGCCCTGAGCTCTTCCTGGCCACAGGTGGCAAAGGACACACACCCCTGTCCCACCAGGGCCCCTGGGCTTTCACCTGATGGGACCTACATCTCAGTGACAGACACGGGGACCGACCCTGTCCCCAAGAAGCTCTGGGTGGGCTGCAAAAGGCCAGGCCTGTCACCACATCATAGCCATGCAGGGTGACACATGGGACCCCTCCCATGGAAGCCAAGGGGCCCCAGACAGGGAAGGGGCCGGGGAAGACTTCCGGGAGGGGCACAGCCTTCCATGCCGGGCTCAGGCACGTGCTCTCTGCCCCATGGGCAATGGGGAGCCCCTGAGGGCAACGTGGCACCTTCGGACCACTCCATCAGCATGGAGACCACAGATGATGGGAAGAGGGATGGCTGGGGGCTGCCACCACTTGGGACCCCCCGCCTCATCCTGGGAAGACACCTGGAAGTCTGGGCCAGGAACAGGAGAGGGGGTGAAGGTCGGCCTTCAGGGCTGGTGTTCTTTCTGTCCCACCCCAGCTCCCACCTTGGTGGCACCCAGATGGCTGGGGAGCTGGGGCGGGGGGGGGCAGCAGAGTCCGTGTACCATGGAGCGGCCGGACAAGGGGACAGGGCCTTGGTTGTGACTCTCAGGCTACAGATGCTACACAAGACACCAGAAAGGTCGTCTGAGCCTGAATACAAGGGCCTAACAGCGCCCAAGCGGGCCCAGCGGAAAATTCAAACAGAGGCCAAAAAGTCGGCGTGGAGGCAGAGCTGGGGTCACCAGGGCAGCAAGGCCCCGCCTTCCCCGCTGCTCCTGGGCGCCCACACTTATCTGGGTGCCACGAGGCTGAGAAGCAGCCACGGGACTCACTTTGGGGGGAGAACGACTTCCTCCCCGGGCCTTCCTGGTTCCTCAGCCCCACCTGGCAACGGGGAGGCTGTGGCCATGACTCTGGTTTTATCATTTATGGTGTGACTACCACCTCTCAGGGAGCGTGAGGGGCAGGAGCTGGAGACAGCGCCGTGGCCGGCCGGGTTCCCCGGTGGGGAGGACCTGGGGGTGCAGATGAAGGGGAGTCTGACGGGGCTCCAGGATCAGGGCAGGTGCTCCTGGGGGCCGCCGGGCCTGTTTGATGGGCGCTGACCAGTGGCTGCCGTCAATCTGCCGAACACACCCCAGAGTTCTGGGGCCCCTCCGCACACTCGGCCCCTTATATTCTGTCTTAGGTAGAACTGACCTGTCCGCCCCTCGGGTGTCAACTTGGACCCTGACCCTCGGAGCTGGTGTTCTGGTGAGAAAAGGGGTTTGGGAGGCCAGGGAGCCCCCTACCACCTATAATAAGACCCAGAGGCCTTGTGGATCAGCTTCTCCCCGTGACCCCTCCCCACCCCGACCCTGCAGACACCTGGGCTGCGGCAGAGACCACCTGCTGGCGGCTCCCAAGCCCCGTCTCTGGACTCGCTTCTGCCAGGACAATCTCAAATCCTCCACCAACCAGGCAAGGATATGCAATTGCGGAAAAGGTCCAGAGGGCTCAGGAGGGAGCAGCTGCTATTCTATGCACTTTGCTCACCTCCTGGCATGTGGTCTCCCATCTTGGCTGTGAGGCACGGACCACCACTAGTCCCCTTTTACAGGTGAGGAAAGGGAGGCACAGAGCAGTTAAGTAACTTGCCGAAGGACACACAGCTGGGAAAGGCAGGGCCGGGACTCAAACTCAGGCTGTCAACCCCAATGCACTTTACTACTCTTTATACGTGAGGAGATGAGGTCAAGCGAAAGGACTCGTGTTCATTGAACATCTACTATATGTCAGGAGTGTTAGGTCGGCCTCCTCACCTTATGGTGAGAAAATCTGGTGGAGAGGGCCACCCCATTGTCCTTATTTTTTTTACACATGAGCCAGACTCAGAAGGGAAGGGCTATTCAAGGTTATCGTGCTTCGAGTGACTTTAAGCCCAATCTGCCTGATGCCAAAGCCTCCTCCTTCAGGAAGCCCCATGGGCTTGCCGCTCACCACCTGCCATTGACTCGACACTTGGAAACCTGTTATCCTCTCGTGCCCTGAAGTCATCACAGGAGTGACCACCCTCCACCCCTGCCATGACTGGCGGTGGCTTCTGGGGACTGTGCCTGCTGTCTATGAAGTCCTCAGTAGAGCCCAGTGAAGGGCTGAGCCTGTAAGACGCACTTGGCAATTACTAGTGAAGAATTAAATCAGCTCTGGTTTAGACTGAAGATCAAGGTCAGCCACGGTGACACAGACCCAAATACCATGACCAGGCACGTGGGGGGACACTAGGGTGTCCCTGAAGCTTTCTTCTCACCTAGCCCCTGTCCCCCTACCAAGAGTCAACTGCAGGCACTGGCCGATGGAACAATGGATTTCATTCACCTCCAGAATGTGGGGCCCCACAGTAGGGCAGAAATCCTCTCTGAATGAGGGCGCGGGGGAGGAGGACTTTTAGACCAGAGATAAGCAAGCCCTGAACGATGAACACAGGTGGGAAGGTGGGGAGAGCTGATCTGGGCAGAGGGAAGAGCCTCAGCCAAGGCCTGGAGGCAGTAAGGCGGCCTGGATTCAGAGAAGGGTACCCCAAGGCTGTGCTCATGTGAGGGAGGGAAGGGTGAGGGAGGGAAAGCAGCAGGGATGAGGGAGGGAAGGCTGGAGGGCATAAAGACCTGCCTTGGGGCCAGAGTATGCGCTGTACCCCAGGGGGCTTGGAAGGGCTCCAAACAGGAGACCCACAGGGTTAGGGGGGACTTCCAGAACAAGATCCCCCCCACCCTCTGCCACTTCTCAGCCTCCTCTGCTGGTGGCTCCTTCTCCCCACCTCCTCCCCCTCCCCCTGGCCTCTAAAGTGGGGACCCCTCCAACTCTATTTCCTCCCTGGCCCATGATGCCAACTCCCAGACATTCTATCTCTGACACAGACCTCCCTCTGGAGCTTCTGAATTCTCAAAATTCCATCTCCGGCATCTCCAAGCTGGCAGACCTGCTGTGAACTCCCCACTCCACCCCAGACCTGCTGCCCCAAACGCGGCACGATCCTGGCCTCCGTGCTCCCCTCCACACTCCCACGGTCCACCCACTGGCAAACCCAGGGGAGCTCGGAATCCACCCAGAACGCAGCCCCCTCTCTCCCTCCGCCCAGCACGCTGCCCGCCTGACACACAGCAGCCTCCTGAATCTCCCCACCTCCAGGGCCCTGGTCGCCCTAGAGCCGGAAGCAAAGGGCACAGGAGAGCCCACTCTGGCCTCCAGCAGCCGTGCCGAGGTCCCGGCAATGCTCTAGGACAGCCCCGCGCTTGCAGAGTGGGCCCCCAGCCTCTTTGCGCCCCAGACGCATATTCGTTCATTCATCCGTTGCACACACACACACTGGGCACCTACTGCATACCAGGCGCTGCTCTGAGCACTGGGAATGCAGTGACGGGCCACACAGTCCTCGCCCTCAGCGCACCTGAGTACAGGCTCACCCAGAGCAGATGCCCTGTTGCCCGGAGGCAAGGGGCTGGACGTCATGGCCACCCCCCGTCCCTAACCACTTAGGAGGAAGCATCCCGGGGAGTCCCAGGCATTGCGGGGAGACCCTGATGCTTGCATGCTGGAGAGTCCAACCAGCTGGGATGGCAAACTCCTCGCCAGAGTCTCAGGCAATGAGACTGGGGGATGGGAGGCAGCAGGGGGCCCCCAGGCCAACCTGGGGGGTTGTAGTGTTCAAGTGCATCCCATTTTGCCTTCTCCCACCTACCCACACCTGCACCAGAGAACCAACAGGAGAGGCGGTCAGCGAACCAGCAGGCAGGGCAGCCCGATGGGGGTGCAGGGCAGCCGAGGCGGGTGCGGCGGGGAGACGCTGACCCTCCTCACATGACCTTGGGGGAAGCATGACCCCTCAAAGCCTCAGTCTTCTGTAGGGGGAGGTAAAACCCCTTTTGCTAAGACCTTACTAAGTGTCTGCAGGCGCTGTGCCTCCGTTTCCCCGAAAGAGGCCGGGAAGGAGGGGCCCACACAGCCGTCAGGTCAAGGAGCCCGACTTCTCTCCCAGGCCCTCCCGCCCATCCCCCTCGGTCGTTAGAGCCCCTTCCTTCCATCCTGCCCCCCCCACCCCCGTCACATCCCAGGGCCCGGCCCTGACACGCAGGGACACCAGCCCAGGCCCCGCACCCCACCCTGTACCTCTTGATGATGAAGTGGATGCTGTGCCGCTCCTCCAGGATCCGCTTCAGCTTGGGGACCCCATATGTGCAGGGGCGCTTGAAGGGGATCTTGTCAGGGATGCCCACGATTTCCACGGCCTCTGGGTCGCAGGCAATCTTCCTGTAGGGGACGGGGACCATGTGGTCCAGGCCCAGGGCTTCCGCTGGAAGGGCAACAGCAAGGCTGAGCGCGGGATGGAAGCTGCAGGCCATGCGGGACCCCAGGGCTGTGGTCCCCACCGCCTCCCCCAGCCCCATCCCCTGCACCCCTCCGGTCACGGGGCAGCATGTCGCCTCCCTCTTGAAAAATGCCTATGGGCTCCATCCCCCTCTGTGACAGCCAAAGTCCTACCTGGGCTTACGAGGCCGCATCACCTCTGACTCACCTCCCTCCTCTGACCCCTCTGCTCATTTCAGTCTCTGCACCTCCCTTGTGGCTTCCCGAACACGCCAGACACACATCTGCCTTGAGGCCTTTGCACACGCTCTCCCAGCTACTCAGACTCTGTCCTCCCAGATCACCATCCACTGCCCTTCCTCCCTCTCCCCATTCACTATTCAAGTGTCCCCCACAGATGTCACCTCATCAGCCCCCTCCATTTCACCCCACTTGGTTTTCTATCCCACGTTCACCATGACCTGACACTGTAAACATATTCATTTGTACACTGGTTCACCCTCTGGAGCCCCAGGTCCACGGGGGCAGGGGCGGTTGCTGCTCCCCGCCTGGGATCTATCTGGACAGGATGGGACCTAGGCTAGCTGCTCACTGCACTCAGTGAGCAGGTGAATGGCGGCCCAGTTTGTGGTGGCTCTTAGCAGGACTCCTGCAGCCTTCCATGCGCTCTTCCCTCCAGGGATGTGTGGAGGTGTGCACATGACGCTTACTCATCAGGGCTAGAAGGGAGACTGCAGAAACTTGGCCAAGAGCAGTGTAGGCAGACCTGGGTTGACCAAGTGGGCTCCTTGTGCCTTCCTTGTAGACCCCGAGGATCGGTCTCAGGCCGCCTCAATCATTCACTTACATCCCATTTCCGTGTTCTTCCTCATTCAGGTGCCAAGTACTCTTGAGCACCTACTATGTGCTTGCGGGTACTTTCATGGGTCCTTGCTCCCCCCAGGGCCTGGGAGGTCTCAGGAGACCTGCTGGGCTGGGTATCTGCTTCCCTCCTGCCTCGTCCCTTCTCACTCCCCCGGGGGAGTCTCCATGCCCTTCCTCAAGCCCTTCTCCCCTTTGCCTGAGTCCCGGCAGGTGCTGGCCCCGAGCTGGACGCCCCTCTCCAGCCACACCCTGGGCGGGAAGGGGCGGAGTCGCCCGGAGCCGCCTTCAAGACTGTTTTTCTGTTGATGCAGCCGGGTCTGCGTTGGCGGCTTTGGCAGCCAGATCCCACTGTGAAGCCACACTTAGCTCGTTGTCAAATTAAACCCTCGAAATCTCAACAGCTGTCAAACCGTGTCTTTCCCCCCCAACCCCCACTCCCAGCCCCAGCGCGTCAGCGATGGCTTCTGTGAATCTACGGGAATTCATCTCCACTCAGGTTCATGTCCTTCACCCGGCCTGTCATTTCGGAGGCCAGGAGACCCAGGGGACAACAGTCAGTCCCACCGACCTCCAGCCTCTGCCCCCCGAGATGGGGAGAATGGAGCCTCCAGGCAGGATCCCCAGTCCCTCGTAGTCTCAACCTCCTTCCAGGTGACAATGTTTTTGAGGCTTCCCCCATTTCTTCTCCGTTTTATTTTTTCCCTTTGTACCCCCAGCCCCATTGCTGGCCCACGTCACCCAGAGCTGGCGGCTGAAAGGGCAGACCCAGGGGCAGAACAAGGCATCCAGGGTCCGTGGGAGGTCCCACCCCCGGTACTCCTGGGGGACTGCCTTCTCCCCAGCACTGCTGCGGGGAAAGCTCAGACAAGGGGAAGCCAGAGAAGGGACATGGCCTCAAACACTCCAAGCCCAGCGCTTCCCCTTGGACTGGGACATGGCCAGGCCAGGTGCTGGCATCCGCAAGAGGTTTGGCGTTCTGGAAACATCCAGAATGCACGACAGGCAGGAAGACCGGCGGCTGCCATGCCAGCCCGGCTGGGACGGAACACTCCCAAGGCGGACAGAGCCAGCCCTCCCCAGATGGCCTCTCCCTACTGCCCAGCCGGCACACACCTGCCTGGGGCGGTCCTGGCCAAGAGGGGAGGAGTGGGTCTACCAGAAAGACCACATCAAAGGCACCCAGGCTATCCCAGATTCCTTACGAGGCCTCCAGAGCCTTGCTCAGCCCCACCCCAATCCAGAAGGCAGAGCCTGCCAAGCCCCCAGGCCGGGGCCTCCCTACCCCAGTGTGGATCAAAGGGCACCTCCTCCATGAAGCCACCCTAGACTCTTCAAGCCTATGAAGACCTCACCTCCTGAGCAGTCCTGTCTTCCCAAGAGCGCCCCATCCCAGCCAGGCACTACACTACACCTGCAGACACGTCTTCAGGCACCTGCTGAAGCGCCTTGAGACCAGCGGTGGCCTGAGTGTGTGGGGGCGGGCTCAAGATGCATGACTGATAAGCGCGCCAACCAGTAAAAGCGTGAGAAGCGAAAAGAAGGGTGGGAGCAACTTGCGATCTAATACGAAAGTCTGTGTCTGGTCTTCCAGCTCAGGTTCCTGGTAATTTCCTGAGTGACAGGTCTGAGAAGAGTCTTGGTATTTATATGAAGCCCCTTCCAACGCACCAGAATTTATGATAACGAGACCCCTCCGGATGGGGACTAACCGGTTGTGGGGAGTGGGGCCGCGACCACGTGATCAGAGAATTGGCACTTTCAGTCCCCCCATTGAGCGACTCACCACAGGACAATGTTTTAACCAATCTCGCCAACTTAATGGGACCCTGCAAAAACTCTAAACCAAGGGCTTCACAGAGCTTCCGAACTCTGGACCCACGTGCTGGGAGGGTGCACCCCAAACTCCACCAGGCCAGAAGCTCCAGCGCTCGAGAGCTTGCCAGACCTCACCATATTGTCTAGCTGTTCGTCTGCACCCGTCACAACCAACAGGTAAAGGGAAGTGAGGTGTTTCCGAGGCCTGTGCTGCTGCAGGCTGGCTGTCTGAGATGGAGGGGTCATGGAACCGGGGATGTGTGGCCGTGGTGGACAGAAGTGCGGGTGCCCGTCTGGGGGACCGTCCGTAAGACCCAGAAAAACAGCTGTTGGCCTCAAATGGCCTAAATGCAGGGCCATCTTGTGGGAGCTGTTGGCCTCAAATGGCCTAAATGCAGGGCCATCTTGTGGGAGCGGGCCCTTAACCTGGGGGGTCTGCGTGAGGACTGAATTGCAGGACACCCAGCTGGCGTCCAGAGGCCTGGAGGGTTGTTGGGGTCGGGAAACCCCACTCTTCCGGTGTAAGAAGTGCTGGAGAAAGAGTCTTCCTTTAGCGACGCAGCAGGGGAGGGAGGAAGAGATAGAGCGAGGACAGAAAGACAGAAGGAGGGAAAAGGAAGAGAGGAGGGTAAAGCCCCACCCTGTCCCTTCTGCTCAAGCTGAGAAGGCCAAGGTTATGGAGGGCGACAGCCAACTCCGCATTGCCTGGAGCGTGGCTGTGGACTCCCAGCACAGTGCTCGTTCTGGACTGTGCACGTTCAGGGGGCTTCCAGAGCCCCGCCCCATCTCCTCCCTTGGCCCCATCACAGAGGGACTCCCCATGGCGGGGCTGTACCTTTCAGCGGGTGGCGGGTGACGCCTCGCCTGCGGGCTCACTGGGTGACCTGTGGGAGCTTGCATCATCTCCAGTTATGTGAGAGCCACCCACAGAGACAAGGCCACGCTGCAGGCATCCACTGAGTGGGGTTTACAGGTGGCGCTCAATAAAGACAGAGTGAGTGAGGACTGCCAGGGAGACAGGGAGAGCGGGTGTGGGAGTGCAGGGTGGGGGACAGGGGCAGTCAGAGCACCCGGAGTGGGAGGGGCTGACAGACCACCTGCTCCAGCCCTGCCTTCTGGCCAAGAGGTGGCTTCGCTGTCTACTCGACGTGAAGCTGGGCCGCGTGGAGGACCTGCCTGCCCCCGCGGCCACCCAGTGCGGAGGGCTGACACGCGCCCTGAGCCTGGCTCCGTCCTGGGTGCTGGGGACACAGAGAGCGGCTGGCACAGTCCTGGCCATCACAGGAACAGATACGCACAAGCAGCATCGAGCACAGGGTGACAAAGAGGACCCCATCACGGCTCTGGGGGGCCACCTGGGCCAGGATGGGGGGAGTGTGCTCCCAAACACATGGAGGGCATGCCAGGCGGAGGGCAGGGTGCAAAGGCAGGGAGGCGAGAAGCGGCGCGGGACCTGCCATTTTTCTGGGTCTTCTGGATGCTGCCCTGCCTGCCTCCCGAAGGTGAGTGGGGGCTGGGGCTCTGCCATCAGTTCTGCCTGCACCCCCCCCGACCCCGCCCCGGCCCCTGAAGAATCTGGAAGGGAAATATTGATGCAGCCGCCCCCTAGCCAGACAGGAGGTGACACGGGCGCTGCCGGCGTGCGAGTGCCAGCATATGGCTCCCGCTGTCATGTTAGGGAACACGAGTGATTGCCATGTAATGAGATGCTCAGCGCACTGCCGGGGCCACGCGGCGGGCCGTGCCGCCCACTCACCATATCTGCTGTTAAACAGGATCTGCACACACTCCCGGAGCGTGTTGATGTCCTCGGTTTCCTTGATGAAGGCGTCCCACTTCTCTATCAAAACACAAGAGGTACGAGTGAGGGTGGGTCGGAGCGGGGAACGCGGGGCCGCCAGACCCTCCTCGCTGGGCCCAGGCCCCAAGGCAGCCACACTCCTTTCATGGCTGAGGCCACCAGGCCTTCATCTGCAGAGGGGTCTCAGCTCTTCCACCCACCCCCACCATGGACCCTGAGGCCCCAGCCCCCCTCCCAGAGGCAGCCCCACACAGCTCTGAGGGTCTCCCCACCTGCTCTCTCCCCTTGCCTTTGTCTGCCCCCAGGGCTCAGCCTGTCCATTCTGGGGGTCGGTCTCCTCCCCTAGACGGGCAGGGGTCTGAGGGCACTCTCCCCGAGATGCCGAGTCCTGACCTCAAACCACTAACCCTTATGCCTTGGACATCCACGGTCTTACCCAGCCTCGGCCCTGTGGCCTCTCTCAAGCCCTCAGCCCTGCTGGCCTCTTCCCCGAAACCAAAGTCTCTGCCTCAATGCACAATTAATAATGAGACTGATCACTCGATTTATTACAACACCCTTACAAATACCATCTTTAATTCAGTAAGTGCTTATCTGTCCTGAGTACCTTAAATATGATGTCCTATTTAATCCCTCATGACACCTTTTAAACAGAGATAGCGTTTCCATCAACTAGGAAAACTAGGCTCAGAGAGACTATCTCACCTGAGATCACCCAGTGAGTACCTAAGGAGATTCTACCGCAGCTGGTACCTCTTGCCCATCACGGCCTCCATGCTAAATATCCAGGTCCCCCCGCTGCTCCCCCCTGGGGACAGGCCTTATTTGGGGCAGTGGGATCTCCATTCCGATCCAGGGGCACTAAGTCTTCTTAAGTTTATTTTGAAAGAGAAAGAGAGAGGCAGGGAGAGGCATAGAGAATTCCAAGCAGGCTCCACGCTATCGGCACAGAGCCCGATGTGGGGCTCGAACTCAAAAACCACGAGACCATGACCTTAGCTGAAAATCAAGAGTTGGACGTTTAACTGACTGAGCCACCCAGGCGTCCTTCAGGGGACTAGGATGTCTTTTTTTTTTTTTTTTTTTTATGTTTACTTGTTTTTGAGAGAGAGACAGAGACAGAGACAGAGCACAAGCAGGGGAAGGGGCACAAGAGAGGGAGACAGAATCTGAAGCAGCTCCAGCTCTGAGCTGTCAGCACAGAGCCAGATGCAGGGCTCGAACCCATGTACTGTGAGATCATGACCTGAGCCGAAATCAGACGCTTAACTGACTGCACCACCCAGGCGCCCCAGGACACTTAGGTCTCCTTAAAGAGTCTCTCACTGAAGCCAAGGGTGAAATCTCTACAAGGCATAGTTGCTAGACATTCTTGATTCATCCCTTTGGGTATAAACGAATCCCAACTACGGTGTGGTACTTTTAATATCTGCCCACATAATTTTTTGATTCTCTCATCTTCAAGAGGTGGAATTTAATTCCTCTCGCTCCCTGTGAGTACGGCTGGATCATTTCTGGCTTCTAAAGGGTACGACATGGGGGCACCCAGGTGGCTCAGTCGGCTGAGCATCTGACTTCGGCTCAGGTCACGATCTCGCAGTTTGTGGGTTCAAGCCCCATGTCTGGTTCCATGCTGACAGTGCAGAGCCTGCTTGGGATTCTCTCTCTCTTGCTTTCTCTGCCCCTCCCCTGCTCATGCTCTCTCTCTAAAATAAATACATAAACAAAACAATAAATAACAGGTAGAACACGGCGGAACTGGTGGTGACTTCTGACGTAGGTCATGAAAGATGTGAGGCTTCTCCCTTGGATCGCGAACTTCAGGAAACCAACTATCACACCGCGAGGACACTCAAGGAGCCCCGTGGGGGCCCGTGCAGTAGGAAGGGGCCTCCTGCCACCAGCCACAAGAGTGAGCCTGGGAGTAGATCCTCGGCCCCAGTCAAACCTTCAGATGACCACAGCCCCTGCTGGCTGCCTGACCACAACCTCCTGAGTGATCCAGGGCCAGGACCACCTAGCTACGCCGCTCCTGAATTCTGGACCCACGTGAGCTATGAGGTGTAAACACTTGCTGCTTTCAGCTACGTTCCGGGCTGGTTTGTTACACGGCAGTACATAACCACTACACTCTGGTTTTCCTCACAATCTCTTGTGCGCAGCTGTCTCTCCCCTTAAGACCCAGTGGATGCATTTCCATTACGGGAAGCACTGCCCCCAGTCCCGGGTCCCCACTTCGCTCAGGGCCTTGCTGTGGGCACCGTCCTACCTGACTTGTCGTGGACAATGGAGAAGAGGATGCGCTTCGAGGCATGGACATTCTGGATGAGAGGACCAGCAGGTCCGGGGGGCTTCTGTCCTGGACAAGGCAGAGGAGAGGCACAGTTCGAGGTGGGCCCCAAGAGGGCTTCCCCGGATCTGGCCTGGGTGCAGAGGCTCTGGCTCTGGGGTAACAGCCTCATCCGCCGGGGAAACCCCAGAACCGAGCCCTGCGCTCGTGAACTCCAGGCAAGTTCCCTGACTGGAGGCAGAGTGTGCTATCCAAACGGGAGACCAGGGAGGCCACGATGTCACAGGATACCTTTTACAGGTGGGGACACGCATTCCAGGTATGTAAGCCCTAGCCTGCGGCTCAGCCCACACATTTGGCGGTGGGGAGGGGAGGGAAGTCCTTTCTTTTCCTCCTGATAATAGGAAGTACATCTTCTAAGCACCTACTGCGTACCAAGCATTGAACTCAGTGGGTTTTTTTTTTTCCTTTCAATTTTAAAGAGACAGAAAGTGCCAACAGGGGAGAGGAGCAGAGGAAGAGAGAGAGCGAGAATCTTAAGCAGGCTCCATGCTCAGCACAGAGCCCGACACGGGACTTGATCCCACGACCCTGGGATTGTGCCCTGAGCCAAAATCAAGAGTCAGATGCTCAACTGACTGAGCTGCGCAGGTGCTCAGGACTCAGCGCTTTAATACAGCTGTTCTCAACCTGGGCAGATTCAAACACGCAGATGGCTGGGCCCCGCCGCCCCCCCCCCCCAGCTTCAGATTCAGCAGGACCACAGCAGGGCCTGAGGATGTGCATTTCTAACTGGCCCTGTCACTTAACCGTGACAGTGACCTTGCAAGAGGTTCAACCCGCGTCTCCACTTTACAGATGAGGAAAAGTGAGGTTCAGAGAGGTAGAGATTTCCTCTGGGACACACAGCCACTAAGTCGAGAGGCCGGGATGTGAACACAGGTTCTTTCTCCCACCCGGAGAAAGTCCCTTCGATACTTTCAGCAGCCCTAACCCAGGCTGGGTATGTAGTGGGTGCTCATTACATGCATGTGACGGACAGGCATGTTTTCTCCCTCCACAGACTCCTCTGTGGAGTCCCCCCTCAGACATTGCTTGACCCCAGGCCAAGGACACTGTTCAAGAGTGGACGAGAGGGGGCCCAGGGATGCCCGCTGTCCTGTCCTCCAACATGCCTCCTTCAGCCTGGCGTGGGCCTGGGCCCCCGGCCCTGCCCTGGGAGGGTGCCCCCACATGAGTGAGCCCCGGCCCACCCCCAGACTTAGAGGTCCCGGCAGCAGCTTACCACAGCAGTCAGGGAAGTCTTGGGCACCTGAGGCCTTGGGCTCAGGCCCAGGCCGGCCAAGGCCCAGGTCGCTGGGGGCGAGCGGGCAGCCGGGCGCCTCCTGCTTGAGCTCCCTCGGGGTGTGGTTAGGGAGCGTGGTGCTGTAGAGGAAGCTGGCCACGGAGGAGGAGGTGGCAGGAGGGGGGAGGTCCTGGGCTGGCCCATTGGGGGCCTGACCGTGCAGGCCACAGTCTCGGGCCCCCTTGGCAATCAGGGAGACGCCGTTCAGCTCCACTAGGGCCTTTGAGTCCCGCCCGCCATCCTCAAGTGGCCTGGGTGAAGGACAGAAGGACACGCGATGGCTTCGTACACCTGACCCCCCAGCAGAATTCCACCTCTTCTCTTAGTCCCCTGGCCCGACCCCTGTACAACATGGCGGCCTGCAAGGTACACAGGACACGAGCTCGGTGGGGGTGCAGGCCAGGGCGGGGGCCACTGGAGGAGTTGGGCCCTGTCCCCCGGGCCTCTGTGCCTCCCACCCAGCCATCACACCCCAGCTCCTACCCCAGCCCGCCTCTCCAGGGCCTGAGCACCAGCGGGCACTGCCACGGCCTCAGGCTGGTCCCCAGGTGGCCCCGGTGCCCGGTACCCAGCTCGCCGGCCTCCACATCCTCATCTCCCAGCAGGCCCTGACGTAGCCCCACGCAGGCGCACACGAGGTGGCTCCCGGCTGGGTCAGTTCCAGCCCCTCTGCAACACCGAAGTCCCCCGGGGGCCCCTGAGACACAACGCCTGGCTCGCATCATGCTCTATGACCAGGCGTTCTCCTCACCGCGGCCGCCAGACGGGGAGCTTCTACTGGGGAAGTGGCCGCAGGCGGCCGAGGCAGCACGGAAGCTGGTCGCCCTCCTGGGCCACCCTGGCCCCAACCTCCCAGTCCAGCCAGCAGGCTCCGGGCTCACTCACCTCTTTAGCTTGAAGCGGATCCGGTGGCTGTGCTCCAGGATGGCCATGAGGGCCCTGGGGTCATAGTCGGCCGGCCTCCGGAAGGCCAGGCCCTCGGGCAGCCCCTGCACAGCCAGCAGCCCCGGCTCCCTGAGCAGCCTCTCATAGGGCAGGGGCACCACGGTGGCCCTTCCCAGGGCCTCGCCTGTGGGGGAGGGGGTCGAGGAGAGGGTCTAGTATGAGAGGGCAGCCAGGCTGAGGCCGTGTGGAGTCACTCCCTGTGGTGCCGGGTTCCCACGGGCCCCTTTGCTGTGAACTTTACACAGAACAGGCTGGGGGGGGAGGGGTGGGTGAGCGCTGGGGACAAGTCCCCATGTGTGCACCTGAGGGCTGCGGCTCCCTCACAGACGGGGCTCCCGGCTTCTCTCACCGTTCTCTTCTCTCTGGGCACCGGAGTGGAGGGGAGAGTGGGGCACAGGGCTGTGGGGGGGGAGGGGGAGGGGAGGAGGAGACATGGGGGAGAGAGACGGCAGGGAGGAAGGGAGGAGGTGAGGGAGGGGAGTGGAAACGGGAAGAACAGATGCAGAAAGAGAGAAAGAAGGCAGACAGAAGGTGGTGGGGATGAGCAAGGGGTGAGTAGAGGGGAGACTGGCTGGGGATTCGGTGGGGTGGGGATGGCCGAGGGGCCCGGGGTCAGGAACGCCTGTTGTCACTCCCACCCTGCAGCGCCCCCTGGAGCCAGAAAGAGGCCTCTCGCCTCAGTGCCACTCAGAGCCCGCCCGCGGCAGGCAAGGGGGGCCAGGGCCGAGTGGGCAAGGTGTGCAGGGGGCTGTGGGCGCAAATCCCACAGCTGGCAAAAGGGCGGTGGCCCAGCCAACCACGTGACAAGTCTTCCCATCCCAGGGTGGCCAGCAAGCCCAGCCAGGGCCTCCGGGCCTCCCCTCCCACCTCAGCCTCCCCTTCCCTCCTGACACCTAGACTGCAGCGGCCGTTTCCTCACAGACCTCTGCTCCACAGAACCAAAGGCTGCAGGAGAGAAGGGAACAAAGCCAGAGGTGCGACCCTCAGGGACCTGCCCAAGGTCATCTAGAGACTGTGAAGGCTACCATGGGGCAAAAGATTCTGTAACTTGACACTTCCGAGGGAGGCCAGGCCTGCCCACCTCCCTTACAGGAAGGACTTGGCTAACCAGTTAAGTTAGCGATCACTCAGTCATTCAACAAACACCCTGTCAACATCTGCCACTATTGGGCCCTGAACTACAGGCTGGGGACAGTGGAAAGGGCAGGCAAAGACTGTGACCCCAGAGAGAGCACTGGGCTAGTGAGACAGGGCACAGTGGGTGCCCAAAGGGAGCATTAAGCCAGGGGGTTTCCCATTGCTAAGCCTGAGAGATTAATGTGGCGTCCACCAGGAGAGGAAGGCAGTCTGAAAAGGCACAGCAGTGCAAAGGCCAGGAGGTGTGAAACGAAGCCGGAGTGTAGTGGAGAACAGGGAGCAGGTCCGTGAGGCAGGGCGGCATGGCTCGAGGTGGGCAGGGACTGGCAACGGGGGTGTTTAGGCCGCACTGAGGATCACGGGGAGCCCCCAGGGCAGCAGAAAGACGAGCTTCTGGTCAGACTTGTGTTTTAGGACGAGGCCCTTGTTCACAGGACAGGTGGGGGCAGCAGGGAGCTGACCTGGAGGCCCGGAGACCAGGGCAAGCCTCGGGCCATTTCCAGGCGACAGGTGGCAGCGAGCAGCGCCAGGCGGGCCCAGGCAGCATGGACGATGCTTCAGAAAGCGAGGCTGGGCTGGAAGAGCCACGCCTGGGGATCCAAGGTGAGGGAGGGCTGGGGGGGCCACTCGGTGAGGTTTTGCCCCAGGGCCTGCCGTGGGGCAAGGAAGGGCCTCCTCAGCAGGGCAGGGATGGGGCTCCCACCCGCCTGGGGGCCCCAAATGGAATGAGGAAGGATCTTACTATAAAGAACATCAAACACCTCCTCTACCATCTTCCGCAGAAGGTACACGTCCGAGCCATGCTCTAGGGAAGACCGAGGGACGTTCCGGCCTCCACCCTCGCCCCGTGACACCTTCCTGGGATGCTCTGTCTCCGGCTCCTTCCATGGGGCCCCTCCTGTGGGACACAGAGCACCCATCTTACCACCTGCCCAGAGATCTGGGACATCTCTGCCCCGTGCTGAACCCCGCAGCGAGGCGCTTGACACAGAACAGAAGTGAATGAATGAATGAATGAATGAACAAGTGAACAAATAAACGAACAAGCAAGCCCTGCCCCAAACCCCTGCCCAGTGCAGGGCTGGTCATCTCTGAGTTCCCAGTGCCTAGCATAATGCTCAGGTCTCCTGGTCACCTCGACCTCACTGTGTGACCTTGGGCAAGTCCCTTCCCTCTCTGGGCCTCAGTCTGTGAGCTCTCATGTAAGACCAGCTGGCCTGGCTCAGAAAACACCTTAGAAAGGGGATGGGTGGAGGGCTAGGAGGCCCCCTCACAGCTTGGAGCCTGCTCCCCTCCCGGGATCCGTGGAGCTTGAAATAAACCAGCTGAGCTCCCGGTGTTATAAATAGCGGCTCTGCCGGGCTCCAGGAAGCCAGGTGCACAGGCCCCAGCCTGGCCCATCGGGGGCCACAGGACCCTGGCACTGTCTGCTCTACCCTGGTCCAGCCCCCACCCAACCTTGAAGAGGGTACAGGCTCTGAGAGCTGAGTGGGAGTAGGGGTGGGGGTGGCTGGGGAAGCATCTGGAAGCTGGGAGCACTGAAAGCCCAGTGCTGGCGGACAGCCATCCCAGAAACGGCTGATCTAGGGGCCAGACCCCGGGTGTGATGCAGATGCTAATAAGCCGGCGTATACTGTATGTGAACCAAGTGCCAGGCACTGTCCTGATCTCTAGGAGATTTGTTTCATCCTCAGATGGACCTACGAGGAGGGGAGCAGTGTTCTCCCCTTTGACAGACAAGGAGGTTGAGGCCCACTTGCAGGTGGCCCACAGCAGGTGGCGGAGCTAGGGTAGGGCCCCAGATGTCTGGCTTTGGGGACTGCTCTTAACCCCAAGAGCTCGGAGTGCCAAATCGTAGGCTCAAATGGCGACTGGGATGCTGGCCTTCAGCGCTGGGGCCAGGCCCTAACCCTGTAGGTCCTAATCCGCCACAAAGGTGACACTGCCCTCGCTCAGGGCCTTCCCGGGAGCGCGGATGGAAGCTTAGGGCAGGGGAAGCTGGCACAATGTGGGGAACCACCACAGGGGCTGGGGTGGGGCGCGAGGGCAGGCAGGGGAGCAGAAGGGGCCTGGGTGGGAGGAATGTGAATCTGGAGGCCGGGGAGGCATCTGCAGGCAGAGGAGAGGAGGGAGGGCCTTCCAGCAGGCAGAGGTGAGATGCACACGGAGCTGAACTAGCACTTGGCACTGCGCCTCCTGCGGTGATGACTGGGAGGGGTGATCGCAGAGGCAGGGGCTGAGTTACGAGGGTCTAATGGCCCAGGCAGTGCTGAGCTGGGGGCTTCAGAACAACCCCCCTGCTTCAGAGACCCCAGCGGGGAGCGGGGGCGGGGGGGGGAGTGTCCTGCTGCTCCTCCCCGATTTTAGAGGGGCGTAGCAGAAAGAGCTCAGGTTTCAGAGCAGAAACCTGGCCTCCACCACTTGTTGGCTGTGTGTCCCCAGAGGATGTGGCTTGTGCTCACTGTGCCTCAGTCTCTCATTTGTAAACCAGTGGTAACTACTTCCTGAGCTCATGGCCTGGCCCAAAGGATTACTGACCGAGTTTATCAAGAGTTTCCTTCGTGCTGCATGTGTCCTCAGTCACTTGTTCCCCAAGAGCCACCAGGAGATGGCTCCAAGACTGTTGCTATAACAACGAGACTGCCTACCCCATAGGGCTGCCGTCAGGATAACGGAGTCAGCACTGTAAAGGGTGCTGCACACAGTAGGTATTCACTATGTATTAGGTAGACAAACGTACTTGGTCTCCGTGTCAGAGATGCACAGGAACTGGGCAATACTGGGCCTCAGTATCCCCTTCTGTCAGTGAGCAGATGGAGTCGGGCCTGGCCCACCTGGGGTTGCCAGCCAGTCTCTATCGAGTGAAGGGCTGTGTATGATTCCAACAAAAACTCTGGCTGTCCCAACGGCGCCATGTTGGGAAGCTGACATAACCCCCACAGGGCCACCTGGAATTGCTCTGGGGACCCAGAGATGCCACCAGAGCCACCGCCCTCAGGGACCACAGGCCCCGCCCTCACTGACGGGGCCCCGCCCCCATGGACTGCAGGTCCCGCCCCCAGGAGCCCTGGGGTACTCACGGCAGAACCTGAGGAAGTCTGATTGCAGCTCCTTCCGCGTGCTCAGGAACATTCTCCCCTTTTCGGTGCCCACCACGAAGGCGCTCTCATCGTGCACAGCGACACAGGCCACCTCTGCATTCAGCTTGGAGAGCGCCGAGCACTGCAGGGGGGAGCAGGGTATGTGAGCCAGGGGAAGGTCCTCGGGCGTGGGGACACCTCCAGTGACGGCTTTGAGGGAGCGATGGATGTTACCAGCTGCCTGAGAGCCCACCAACAGCTGGTGGGAGGGAGAGGTCACCCCTCAGTTGGTTCTGCTGCAGGAATGAGTGCATGACTTCCCCTCCCCCAAAGCCTGGCCGAGGTCAAGGGAGAAGATAGGAGAAGGAAGACACATGTCCTCTGCCCGTCCTTCCTCCCAAGTCCTCCTTGCTATGGGGACAGGAGGCTTCTTGCCTGAGGCCTGGTCCCAGCCCCAGGGACAATCCTGTTTTAAGTTTTCTCCAAGTCCTAACTGAGGGGGGGTGGGGGCGGTCCAGGAGAAACAAGGCTCAGACAGATCCAGGCTTCAATCCGCCATCAGCCCCTTCCCGCTCTGGGACTACCGCGAGTCACTCCCCTCTCTGTTTCTAAATCTGCAGAATGGGGACAAGTGGCCTAGTGCCCAGGCTGTCAACGGGCTTGGTCGTGGGGATTCAGCGAGGCCTGGCTGGCAGGAAAACAAATCTCTAAACCGGGGTATTGCGTGGGGGTACACAATCCGAGGCGTTATTTTTGCAGCCCCAGAGGTGAGGTGGGCCGGCCCACAGCAGGGGAGGTGCTACCACAGGGGCCCTGCAATGGAGACCACCAGCATCTCGGCCCTTTGCCCCAGGTCCGCAGAAAAACTCTGCCTGCAAAGCTCTTAGCTTGCAGTCAGCGCCTAATGAATGCTTGCTGGTGTTTATCTGAGACACAGCTCTGCTGGCTGTGTGATCTGGGACAGGCTCCTCAACCTCTCTGGGCCATCATCATGCCTCTTGCGGCAGCTCCGGCTCCAGAGTTGCTCTGCTGAGGAAGCTGGGGACAGGGATGCTGTAGAGCCAGCAAGCCTCTCCCCTAGGCTCTCTTGTGGTGAAGGGTGGGTGTTGATTTCCTGTGAAGATTCAAACAACCTGGTACTGGTGGAGACACTCACTCCCTTGGGAATCGACGACCCCAGATACACAGACACCCGGGCTGGGAGGAAACGCACCGGCAGAGGTCTGGCCCCATACCCCACGCAGATCACCCGAGCCCCGGACGATGCCAGAGCCATGTCACGGCCGAGCAAGTGTCGTTGTTACCCTTAGGGTCCCTCGGGAAGGCCATAACGGGACCCAAGGCCAGGGGAGGGGGTCTTGTCCATGCCCCCAGGACAGCTACACGGCCACTGCTCCTCCTCTGAGCCTCTGTAACACTCTCTAGGGCAGTGCTGCCTAGCAGAACTTTCCGTCGTGATAGACACACGCTGTTTCTGTGTCGTCGGATGCTGTAGCCCCCAGGCCCCTGTGGTCACAGAGCGCTGGAAGCGAGGCCAGCACAACTGAGCGACTGAACTATCTTATTTCATTTCAACGAATTACAGTTTATTTATTTACTTATTTTTAGTTGAGAGAGACAGAGACAGTGCGAGCAGGGGAGGGGCAGAGAGGGAAAGAGAGAGAATCCCAAGCAGGCTTTGCACGGTCAGCCCAGAGCCCAACGCAGGGCTCAAACCCATGAAACTGTGAGATCCTGACCTGAGCCAAAACCAAGAGTCAGGCGCTTAACCGACTGGGCCACCCAGGCCACCCCTGACAAACTACAATTTAAATGTCAGTTGAGGCATATGGCCAGTGGCTGTGGTGCTGGCCATCACCGCCCGTTGTCACAGCTGACCACGCCACTGCCACCAAGCTAACACTGCTGCGGGACATCGGGCCGCGTTCCTGGGGCCCCCTCCTCACCAAGGCCGCTCTGCACGGGGCCAGGGTCACACCGGCCGTCTCTGCAGCGGAGCCTAGGGCCTCAGGGCCACACACACTGCCTACATGGGGCTTGAGCTCCCTACGCGGGAACTGCCTGGAAGGAGGCCCTTCGTTCTTAGGAAACCGTTGACTTTGTACCCAAGAGGCCACTTTGAAAGCGGATCACGCTGGGGCGCATGGGCCGCTTGGTAGGTGAAGTGTCCGACTCCTGATTTCAGCTCATGATCTCTGTGGGATCGAGCCCCGCGTCAGGCTCTTCATGAATGGTCGGGAGCCTGCTTGGGACTCTCCCTCTCTCTCTACTCCCCTGATCACTCTCTCTCTCAAGATAGATAAATAAACATTAAGAAAAATTTAAAGATACAAACCTATTAAAACTATAAAGATGAAGGGGCACCTGGGTGGTTCAGTCAGTTAAGCATCCGATTCTCGATTTCAGCTCATGATCTCACAGCTGGGATCAAGCCCCATGCCAGGCTCTGAGCTGACACTGGGGAGCCTGCCTGGGACTCTCTCCCTCTCTCCCTGCTCCTCCCTGGCGTGTGCATGTGCTACCCCCACCCCAAAATCACTGAATAAACATTAAAAAAAATAATAAAACTGGTCATGCTGTGTGACTCCTGGCAAGGTACTACTCTCTCTGAACTTCCATTTCACCATCCTAAAATGCAGGGGTATAGCTACCTGATGCCAGACAGATTTTAACACCCACCTACCCTCTGCCACAAAACTTTCCCCCAGGAAAAGCTACCGGAAAATCACATTTTACTATTTCCTTCTTTGGGATAAACCACCATAGGGTCAGGGATGATTTCTGAGGCCCCAATTCTCTTTCCTGACCTGAGGTGCAGTTACAGATCTTGCTTTCAGCATCGGGGATTACAGCTCTCTTGTGAATCACTGCCCATACACTATCCTCCAGGGGCCCTGACGGAGGGAAGCCTGGGACGAGGCACGAGGTAATGAAGATGAGGGATGAGGGGACGAGGAGACAGTGGTTAGTCACAGAGCTGGGTTTTTGCATCCCTGATTGCTTAAGCTCCCTGCCTGCTGATGTGGACCGAGGCCCCTGTGGCAGACGGGGCCGCTGAAATGTTGGCTCTGCGATCGGCGTTTGCTCCCCCGGGGCAGGTGAGGCCACTCACCATGGAATCTAAGGCAGACACGAGGCTGGTGATGATCTCGTCTTTGCGGGTGAAGGCGGAGTTCCAGCGGTCAGGCCCGCAGCCGTTGGCGGGAATGTCACAGCGCTTCCCCAACAAGGCCATGGTCGCCTGGATGGAGGGAGGAAGAGGAGGTGGGAGTGTGGAGCTGGCCGCCCCTTCACCTGAGGCTTCGTGTGCGCACGAAGGCGTTAGAGCCGCGACAGGCCTGGAGCCGCAGTAGCCGGCACCCAGCTCCATGGGGGGAAAGGCACAGGGAGACTGAGGGGTGTGCTCCGCGGCACGTCCTCCACATCTGCGACCCCAGTACCAGGCCTGGTCTGCCTGGCACCTCACCGCCAACTCTGCCCTGCACGCAGCTCTGGCCAGGCTCTCCCCGGCTCACACACCCTCCACGGCTCCTTACTGCCCACCGCTGGACTCCTGTCCCCGCTCAGCTCCCCTCTCACATCCCCAGCTCCAGATGCTCCAAGAATCACTGTCCCCAAAACATACCCACGTGCCTTCTCCCTGCCCCTCTGTCATCTACTGACTGCCCGCTCGGCTTTTAACCATCACCCTCCGCTGCCCCACCTCCTGCCCCTTCCTGCCCCGTCGTTGCTGGCCTCCCACGTGTCCCCAGGCTCCTCCGTCGTGGCTTCCTATCAAGCCACAGGCTTCCCTGCCCAAGGCCACTGCCCCGAGGCCCCTGAGCTCAGAAAGATACCGTGGGGTGGAGGCCACTTCATCTCAGAGCAGGGCTTCCCCAAGACGGGACTTTGTCCCCTAGTCATAAGGCTCCTGGAGGAAGGAGGTGCGCCCCCACCCCCCCGCTGGGGTGCCCTCTGCCCAGGGCCCAATGTCAGGTCCACCCCAGGCAGCCCAGAATGGGCACCCGCTAGATACAAAGGTCAGCCTCCCTCGATTCCAGTTCCTTCCTGCCCTTCCCTCACCAGAACCTCAGAAGTCAGGGCCAGGGTTTGGGGACACTCCTCCCCACAGGCTGCCCCAGTGCCAGAACCTTCCAGAAATGGCTACTCCCTCGCCAATCCAAGCAAAGGAGAGGAGCAGGGTGTGGAGGAAGGGGCTCTCGGTTTCCCTCTCTAGGCTCAGCAACTCCAGGGCTCTATGCACGGGCCCACGGACAGTTCAGGGAAGCACAAGCATCAGAGAGAGTCTGTGGGCCTATCCTGTCCGCTTCCTGCGGACGGGGGCACTGGGCAGGCCGATGGCTGGGCCTGGCATCTTAAAGGGTGCCAGACCCAGAGCGTATTCTGCTACCATAGGTGCCCCTTGGACTGTAAGCTCTGTGAGGGCAGAGACTGGTGACTCCTGAGGCCCGGCCATGTCAGGGTGTGGTCTCCACCGCAGTCTGGGGCCCTTGTGCGAGCCATGAGACCGGTGACACAGAAGGAGCATCAGAGTGCCTCACACGTAACAAGGTGAGAAGCAGCCGGGCCTCGGTTGTGGAAACAACGCAAAGGAATGAGGAACACAGCCGGAGCCTGACTCGGCCTCAGTTCTGGCCCACACCTGCTATTTAGCTGTGAATAAATATTGATTTTAACAACTGGCCAGGCAGCCACCGGCCAAGTGTGAATTGGGTCTGCTTCGAAATGTTTATAAAATGTCTTTCTTGGGGGACCTGGGTGGCTCAGTCAGTTAAGCATCTGACTTCGGCTCAGGTCATGATCTCGCGGTCTGTGGGTTAGGGACCCGCATCGGGCTCTGTGCTGACAGCTCAGAGCCTGGAGCCTGCTTCAGATTCTTTGTCTCCCTCTCTCTCTGACCCTCCCCAGCTCATGCTCTGTCTCTCTCTGTCTCAAAATTAAATAAACGTTAAAAAAATAAAAATAAAAATAAAAAAATAAAAAATAAAATGTCTTTCTTCTCCCAGGTTGCGATTTTATAAATGTTGGAAGTCCACAGTGTTAAAGGATGCTGAGGGTATGACAGGCCACGTATGGGACATCTTAAGGGCCCAATGGGCAGCCAATGGCTTCACCTGGAGCCCTCTGGAGCACGAAGGCCACTGGACGGTCTGCCTTGTAAGCAGCTGAGAGGTTTGCCTGCCTGGGGACGTGGGAAGGCTTCTCCCCACTCTCCGGCCACCCCTCCCCCAGCCACCCCCCAGCCACCCCCAGATGGACCTCAGCCTGCCGGCCTCTCAGCTGCTGAGGCCCAAATTGAATCAGGGCAAAGCAGGAGGCACCAGACAGCCCCAGCCTCCAGGTGGCCCAGACAGCTGCTGGCTCCTTCCTGCGGAGTCCTAATCCATTTAGGAAACAACCAGGAACTCAGAGACTGAGAGAGGGCGGAAAGGGGGGCTCAGCTTGGGCTGTCCCCTGACTCCCTGTCCTGAGCAGGGGGGTGCACCTAGGGAGGCAGGAGAGAGAAGACCCTACCCCCCTCCCCACAAATGGCCAGGGTTGCCATGGATGGGCCAGAGGGGCCAGGGCGCTGGGCCAGGAGCCATAAGCCACACACATGAGGAGGCCCAGACCAAGGCCTGAAGGGAGGACCACATTGGGTCAACTACCCCAAACCCTAGTTTCCCCTTTTGTTTCAAAGGGTTTTTTTTGGGGGGGGGGGCACCTGGGTGGCTCCATCGGGTAAGAGTCTGACCTCAGCTCAGGTCACGATCTCACAATTTGTGAGTTCGAGCCCCAAATGGGGCTCTGTGCTGACAGCTCAGAGCCTGGAGCCTGCTTTGGATTCTGCGTCTCCCTCTCTCTCTCTCTGCTCCTTCCCTGCTCATGCTCTGAGTCTCCCTCTTCTCTCCTTCAAAAATAAATAAACATTTTAAAAATCTAAAGGTGTTTTTTTTTTTTTTAAGTTTATTCATTTTGAGAGAGCGAGTGTGTGTGAGCAGGGTAGGGGCAGAGAGAGAGGGAGAGAGAACCTCAAGCAGGCTCTGCATTGTTAGCACGGAGCCCGATGTAGGCTTTGAACTCACAACCCTGAGATCATGACCTGAGCTGAAATCAAGAGTTGGAGACTCCCCTGCTCAAGCTCTCTCTCTCTCCTAGAAATAAATAAAAAAAATATTTTAAAAAAAATTTTAATTTTTTTCGATGTTTATTTATTTATGAGAGGGGGGAGGGGCAGAGAGAGAGAGAGGGAGACACAGAATCCGAAGCAGGCTCCAGGCTCCGAGCTGTCAGCACAGAGCCCGACGCAGGACTCAAACCCACGAACCATGAGATCATGACCTGAGCCAAAGTCGGCCGCTTCACCGACTGAGCCCCCCAGGCGCCCCCGGCTCCCTGTCTCTTATTTTCCACATAGAATCCACTGCAATCTGAAGGGCTCGTTCGTGTGTTTCTCTCCTGACTTCCCCAACAGCGGGAGCTCTGGGAGGCCGGGGCCATGCCAGCCAGGCTTACGGCATACCCACTGCTCAGGTTGTCACGGGCGCCACACATCCTCAGGGAACCAACTGGTGTGACGGTGGGCCACCTGAGGCAGGAACTGGGACGCTCACAAGCTATAAGCAGAGTGACAACTTTGGACTTGCCAGGCTCTCAAAAAACTAAACTAAAATAAATAAATAAAATAAAAAAAAAAAGGGGGGGTCAATCAATGTGGGACACTATAATGTGGGATGTACTTGGATCAGAGGAACAGTCCAGGAAGTGAAAGTGACCGAGGTGCCCGGCCAGATGCTCCCCTGTGCAGCCTGCGTTGGCGCCGTGGACACTGGTCCATGGCAGAGGGGATCAGTGCGTGAGCGGACTCTCTTTGCTAACATCATGCTCCAGTGCAGAGAGGCGGAGGGGCTTGCCCGCGGCCCCCTGTCAGTGGCTAGTAGGGATAAGGTCTGTCAGTCGGCCGGTCTGTCCTCAAGCCTGGTCCTATCTTCAAGAAGTGGCAAAGGGCGCCTGGGTGGCTGAATTGGTTGAGGATCCGACATCAGTTCCTCTGTCCTGGGCTCCACACTGGGCTCTGTGCTGACAGCATAGAGCCTGCTTGGGATTCTCTCTTCCTGTGCCTCCCCTACTTGCTCTCTGTCCCCCTCAAAATAAATACGTGAAGGAAGGAAGGAAGGAAGGAAGGGAGGGAGGGAGGGAGGGGACCGTACTCCTCACACCCACCAGGATGTGGGGAGCAGAAAGATCAACTGATTGACTCCACAGCTGATATGCAGTGAGGGTCACCAACTTCCCCTGGTTCACCAGGAACTTTTCTGTTGTTTGTTTGTATTTATTCATTTTTGAGAGACAGAGAGAGACGGAGTGTGACAGGGGAGGGGCAGAGAGAGAGGGAGACACAGAATCTGAAGCAGGCTCCAGGCTCTGAGCTGTCAGCACAGAGCCTGATGCAGGGCTGGAACTCACGAACCATGAGATCATGACCTGAGCCGAAGTCAGATGCTCAACTGACCGAGACACTCAGGCACCCCACCTGAAACTTTTCTGACTTGAGCACAGAAAGTCCCCTGTCCTGGGAGACCCCTCAGTGCCAGGCCACCTGGGACACCTGGTCACCCCACGACACAGGGACCAATACACTGAAAAAGCCCCTACCAGCTGCTGAGAATGAGACAGACAGACAGGAAGGCCAACAGATGGCCAGTAGGTCGTCTTCAGGTCCAAAAACTCAATTTTACCTAATAAGGGGAGAGGCAGGCTTGGGGACTCCCGGGGGAGGGGACAGGACCCCTCTGTCCGGGGAGGAAGCCATGCTCCTGACCTGTCTGAAGAGTAGGTGTGAGCCACAGGGGACTGTCTTGCTTTGTGAAGCACTCAAAGGCGGAGGCGGAAGGAAGACCCTGGAACCCTGCGGGGTGACACGTTCCCCCCACCACTATGCATCTGGGAGACCAGCTACCCGGGCCCTGCGCCCTGGGAGCCCCGAGGCAACAGGTCAGCAGCCTGTCCGGCCTGGATGACCTCTGGGCACGGTTCCAGTTGCCAGGCAGCTGGGGACTCCTTCACCCAAACAGCGGCAGCCTTGCTGGCCGCCAAGAGCTGGAGCCAGCCTGGTCTCTGAGCCAAGGGTGAGCCAAGCACCTGTGTCCCTGAATCACCACTGCCCCGACCCATGACCGCCCATCTCCAGTGGGGAGGTACCCGTGGGAGGCGGGCCCCGGGGCTAGCGCCGGCAGACAGCACCCTCGGCTGGGGTCCCGA